TGACGGTAAAGGCGACTAATGTGCCCCCCTTCAGAATCGGGGGACACTAAAAAAATCACATTGATCTGCTGCCTCTATTGCAACATTTCGAATCCTTATATACTGTATCTCTCTACTCTCTAAATGCCTTTTGTTTCCGAGTGTCTTCCGTATCAATACCTCTCTTTTTGGCCTCATTATTAAGTCAAGTGATGAAGGCATGCCGGGAAATATCAAATTTCTATACGATGGTAATTGTTATTCCCTGCTTAACGTACAGTATTTTTGAAAATGGCAACAACCGGTTCATCCGGGCGGAATGCTGTGCTTGGGGCCTTCGGCATGGCATTTAAGTGAGGTAGCACTATATGTCGGCATCAGATCCGCGCATAAGTAGGAAATTACACAGCACACATGAAAGCATGCACGTCCTTAAATGACCTTAGCTGTTGATAGGACGTTTAACCTTGTACAACAAACCAAACATCTGGATTGTTTGTTCAGTGTTTAACAGCGAAGGTCATTTAAGGACGTGCTTCCTTGTGCGTTGTGTATGTGTTTTGCAGGCATGGAAACAGAGGAAAATCAAAGAATCCAAAGGTGTTTTTCATCTGGTCGTGGTGTGAGTATATTGGTCATCGTCACCTCTGATTTGTATATCTTCAGATCATTTTCTTGCTTTTTTGTGATAACTGTGTTCAGATTGTCTTTATGTTTTGACGATTTGTTGCATACTGAATCCTTTTATTTTATTGAGTTTTGTACGTTCACTTTGAGTGTTTCATTGGTTCCTGTTAATGCGTTTTCTTATCAATTTCGAGTTTTGTTTCTGCCTTAACATGTTGAAAGTATGGTTCAACATACTTTTAAATGGGTATACAACGGGGGAAAGCTTTGAAACTTCAACAGAAAGCGTTGGGGAAAACGACCGGAATATATGGAAATAACCCGCATTTACATTTCAACGTCGAAATTTGTTTCCGCTCTTGTAATTAGTTACTCTAATGATTCAAAATAATATATCTTTGTAAACGTACCTGCCAAAGGGAGCGCGCCTCTGGAATTTCGAGTGTGTTGTGTATGAGCTAAGACAGAAAGCATATATCAATAACTAAAACAAACAAATGTATTGTAAAGAATGAAACCGATTTTATTGTATAGCAGATAAAACCGAGATAAGTGTGACGTCATAGTCACAAGGAAACCATATAACTATCAAAGCGCAGAGTCATTCGGAGGCCAGCAAATGGGGAACATAAAAATATAAGTAATAGTACTAGGTTTTAGACAAAACGAAAATCCCAAACCTGTATCATTTCTCAGATTTATCCGAATATTTTTCAATGTCCTTCTTCAAATATTCTGACAAAAATATTTTAGAACAAAAGTCAAACCCGAAAGCTCATACTATGCATAAACATCTAAAATGACAATATCAAATAAATGACACATTTCGGCTATTCCATATATGAACTGAAGAATTATTGTTTTGTTTTTCATCATTGCAAAATCTTTTAGAATTCCTGATCGTTACTTTGGAAGAATAAAAAAAAATCAGAACATTATACAGCACGATATTGCGGACGGATGTGTGTAAAATAATAGCAAACATTGTATGTTTGTACAGTAAATAATGAATAGCACATACGTCAACAACAAACCTACGTATATATATATGTGTGTGAAAAACAATGGCTAATACAAATACATTATTACAATTTGTCAAAGCATATGTAGATTTTGAGAAAGCGAAAATAAGGCATCTTGATAGATGTATATAGATATAATATAAAAAATAAAAGTTAACAATCTTTGATTTCATACAACGGAATAAAATAATGATTTAATAAATATGTTTAACACAAGAACAAAGCGTTGTAGGTTATGTTGTATCAAGAGTAACTAGGTTGAAGTCATATGAATTCAAATTTTCAAAACTCGTGAAAAAAACAATCAATATTTGTTTGATAGCTTAGCTTATCTGCAAGTGATCCCTGCAAGCCTTTTCTCAAATCACGTTTGTTATTGATTGATGTCAATAACTATTTCAAAATCATCTCTACACTTTACCTCAACATATTTTCCAAAACTTATCACAACCGTCACTTGACTTAATGTAATCAGTTACTTCATAAAATATGTCGAGGAGTGAACTAGAATGTGAAAGTTATTAAATGTATTCACACATTTGTTTCAAGTTGGTTATATGTTCCAATCTGCTAATTCGTAAATACGAAATTGTTAAAGCAAATTTAGATTATCTTTAATGGTTTTTTAAGAGAATCATGATTGATGTATAGAGACAGTCCCATTTCAACAATAGTCTATGTGTAATGACTTCTGCTAACAGTCTGCGAAAAACTATGTGCATTGAATTTTTGAAGCGTGTCCATAAGGCATTTCAATTTAATTCCACACGTACAGGGATATCATAAATATACGCACGTGTTTTCCAAAATAAAAAATACATTTAAGAAATACGCCAAAGAGTGTGAAAATCTAATTCTGAGTATGTGAAATTGCAACGTAGATGAGAAAATTGAATTGTGTCTATTCCATACCTCTATATTCATTATTATTTACGCAATCGATGTCAATGTAGCGCAAAAACATCATATTCTACAAACAGGAATTATCTCGCATAAACTCGCGTTTTCGATTGTTGGTGAAATAATTGGTATTTTCAATGATAATCAACAGCATGAAAAAGCAATAATTTCAACAAAAGATAAAAACACTAAAACGAAGCGTTCGTCTTGTATCCACCTGAATCATCTACCGTACGCGTCTACACTTTTGAAAACTGTTTTTCAACAGATTACAAATAAAAAAGGCACTTAAGATTATTTGTATAACTCTACAAAGATTATTGTAGTCAATGTTTTCTACATAAGTAGTATGATATTGCCACTGAACACGTATCAGTCCGTTTCGTATAATATTGCATTTGTGTCAGACGCCCATACAAACAGCATGCACAGCCTATCAAAATAGTTCACACACTATATCGTCACTTTAACCTTTATATTTCACGTGATAGCCTTTTTTTTTATTCCTATCGGATTACTTATCCGATTTGTTTAGATTTTTCTAGCAAATGAGATTCCATAAAATAAAATACTGGAAATGAGAGACAAGATGTTTAATTATTACTTGCAGAAAAAGTCTGTTATTTGCCTTTAAATCATGTAACATTTATCCAATTTCAATTAAAAAAAGGTGATTTATCTTCAATATATATCAATTATAAAGTATACGTTCCACTACCAGATTGGTCAACGGGATTGAATACTTGAAGAAGTTTCAAAAGTATTGGTTTCTCTGGTTTGGAATTATTTTTTATGAAAACTGAGTATTTAACGAAGTTTTGCAGAAGGTCACGTGTGTCTTTACTGATTAACTAGAATACCACTAGAAGTGCAACACGTACAACACAGTACGGATAATACAATAATACATTTGGATCATGTACATTTTGTAGTATGAAAATACAATTGTAGACAAAAATCATGTTTAACAAGTTAAAAGTTTATTCAGCAGTGTGACCACAATGGAATATCTATCACAAATCATTAATAAATTTCAGCAGTTAATTTTAGAAATATGAATTCTTCACAGAAAATTCAAAATTTCCGTTATACTTATCACAGCAAGATAAAAACTGAAGTTCTGTTCTCAAATAAGTTATCCTTAGTGAAATACTGATGACAAAATATGTCACACAAAATGTCCTTGCACGCGCTAGTCGACTCTTCAGTACGTGTCTGTATATACGTGCGTGTCAGTATCATCTTAACTCGCCAATGTAACTTTTGATACATCTCGACGAAAAAAGGAAAATACTGAACATAATTGATTCTTGACAAATTAAAATTGAATTCCACTAACTGGAAAGATAACAAATGCTTTCCCGTTAACAACTTGGCACCGATTATGGAAAATGTATTTGAACTTTTAATATATTTGCGGGTAAAGCTTGACATTTACATAAGACTTTTTGAACTTTTCCTTAATGTTTAAAATGATGATTTACTCACCTAAAAATATGCAGCAAACATTCTTCAAATAATACTTACATGCTTTTACATTTATTTAAAAATACAATTTCCGAAATATGTAAATGTAAATGTTTATACTGATTTAGTGTTGACATGTTCTTTTTCTTTTTGAAATTTTCTTTTCAATACTAATATGGATATTTCTCATAGAAATTCATGTAGGGCAATGATAAAATTAATTGAAACCATAAAACCTTTGTATAGCGTAGATTACAGTATCATATCACTATACAATTATAATAATTCCATAAGGCAAAGAAAACAAAGATATGGTGAGGTATAGCATACCAAATTTCACCTTAATATGTGTCGGACAGATGTAAAAGACAGGTGCGAGATAGTGCAAAATTGAGCAAAAACTAAATAGAAAGCTATCAAACGGACGTATGTCGTAATACAAAACTATAACAATGATAAACTATTTTTATTTGAATAAGAAAATAAAAGAATAAATAAACGACTACATTTATATTCAAACCAAATACTTATACAACTATATTGGTCACATGATCATATTTTTTAACAATAAAACAGAACACAATTGAATACTCTGTAACATGATTGACTGCACCACAGACTAAGGATGTTAATAAGTGTACACAAAGCTCCAACACTGAACGGTATAAGCTAGCAAATAATTAGCGGTACATTATGCAAATGATGAACAAATGCATAAAAATCCAAGGTACACATAACAAATAAAGGATAACCATGATCTATACACCAATACAACATAAATTGTGTCATGAAAAAACTCTTTATATTGAAATAATGTGATTTATCGCATGTGTTGCGGAAATAACAATGAAAGATCTTTTTTAGTTTCTTCTGTTTTTCTGTAATGTAGAGAAAAATAAATTGTCCTGTTTGAGAGGGGCAAAAAAAGAAAAAAAAATGTTTTCTTTATTTTTATGACTTTAAAAATAAGATTTTTCATAAAATCTACGACATATATATGAAATGCTTTTAATTTTATGATCCGAAAAAAAATCGTTTTTATTTGATGATGTTAACAATTTTATTTCAATTTAAATCTAGTGAGACCGGTGTATACTCTACATTTCTAACAGATATCTAAACATAGCTATAGTTATGTATAATGACACCAGGGGGCGGGCTAGTCCAACGTCTGTTGCCTTTCTCCGACTGCGTCATCCGCCGCATTGCATCCGTACCTATGAACTGGCCGCCGGCACTCCGACTGAACCCCTTATACGGAACCTGTAGAAACAAGACAACGGTAATGAGAGAAGGCAGGTAAGTATTACATCATCTATTTAAAGGCATTAGAATAGTAACTAAATAATATATAAGTAATGTAATTACAGCTACCACTACTTCTAATTTTATGTATGATATGTTAAGAGTCAATCGTCGTCACATTTATTGGCAAATCATATGTTATGCTGAACTATTAACGCAAGTTAGGAATGAGTTTACCGAAGAAAGGCAAACAGGTTACTTTAACCATTATTCTTGATTAGAAAAAAGTACATGGTATTAGAAAATAAAAAGCTTTGAAATTTAATCTAAAATATCTATCAAAAAGGATAGAAGATATTAAACTCTGGAACTATTTTGTTATTAATGTTATCAAACAATGATTTAAATGAGTTAGGATGAGTAGGGGAATACAAAAATCAATATTTTGTGTTTCAATTTTTTTTCACAGCAAATTAGCGGAAAGACCACAAAGGGTGACAGCATCGTAAAAACCTGGTTTTAGACATAAAGATGGAAATTTAACTTTGTGTTAAGAAATTACCTAAAAACACCTATTTTCACATCAAAATATTACAAAGACCACAAAAAAAGTTACAACATCGTAGAAAATTGTAGAAGAAATAAAGTTGGAAAGTTAAATTTGAGTTTTTCAATTACCTATAATACCTACAGTCAACGGTGAAGACCATTTGGTAAACTATATGTTGTGTAAACATTAAGCGCTGTGCTGTACTACGTTAATATGTAACAAACGTGGTATAAGATATGTTATATTCAAATAAAAATAAAAATGGCATGTATTGTTGAACAACAGCTGATAATTGACCATTAATATACCTTCCTTCATTTCCATGTCTCTGATACAAGTTAAATTCAGATGTTACTTTTTGCTATATTGCTTTATTGCACTACATTTGTATTTTTTGTAATTTTTATTTAACCGTGATTTTAGATTCGCTTTAGTTTGTCATAAACTTTTCATGGGCGATTTTTATGAACTTTCTGTTTGCAAGAAGATTTCTAGTAATCGAGCGTTGGACATTATTTTCGTTTTACATGTACACGTGCTTAGTTTATCGATTATACCTTTTTAATGTTTTCGCGTTAACTTGAAAGTGCTAAATGATGATAAGTTTTTAGTTTTCAAATGTTGCTATTATACATATTACAGATTATCGCAGCAGTTCAATCAAGTAGTGAAGTTATTTTCGTATGGTAAGGGATGAGCCAAATATTACATTGCGGCACTTCAATCTCTAGTGGGAGTAAATGATGACAAGGGAAACACACCAACCAGAAATTAGTACAAAGAATTGTAAGGTAAGGAGATAGAAGGGAGGAGAGATAAACAAATTTCCCCATCACCTCAAGTTACACTGCTCCGAAGTGTTTAGGACGATTTACCCTGCAACATCATCAACACCAAAAGATTTGTTGCAGAGAAATTTCAAACACAATCTCCAGTTTTGGAAATATCTCATTCTTAATCAGTTAGTTTTTACAACAACATCGTTAGTAAAAGGTTATCAGGCTAATCCAAGACAGCAGCTTACTTTCAAAAAAACCCATTTAGAAACGATGCCATTTAAAAGACAGAGTATTACATTTCAATCATTCATGCTCTTTAATTTAAAGTACAGCATCTACATCATAGTAATGAATAGAAAACTATAATAATGGAAGCTTATTTAATAAAATATGGCAACATTATCGTCTCTACAAAGTGGAAATAATCATAATATTATATATCGTGATGATCAATAAAATCTAAATATGAGAGAAATAGACATTTTAATACTTAAACGAAAGACTTTTCAATTTACAGTCGAGGTTTATACACTGTTAATTTAATGTGAAACATTGGCAATATCTGATATATCGATCTATAATTTATAAACAATTTGGCAGAACTTCTATTTTGTGCATAAATGAAGTAAATATATTGCGAAACTATTACACACTATCATGTTTTACAATGCACAATTTTATTGACATGCCATTATGTATTTCACTGTAATCGAAAACACCGCAAAAATATCCCGTTAAACAATATTCTACAAAGCAATATATTACATATTGATCTTTAATAATAATGTTAATGTCTATGAGTGATAAGCAATAAGATATATAAGACTGAACAATACTACATTATCATCTAATATGTAAGTGTAATCACACGATTCACATACACAAATGTATCTGCAAAAAGTAAAAATGTAATGTTACATTTATATTGGGGAATCATGTACGATCAATTATACATATTGGATGTGCTTGTGAATTTCTTATTAGTTCACGTGCTTGATAAACATACTTTGATTTTTTTAATAATAATTCATTTTAAACTTTCTGATGAAATTCACCATTACTATCAACACGCATACAATGCCAGGTTGTTGTTTTTTTGTTTTTATATTTAAGGTAACGTTTTAATCCAATTTCCGAAGAGATTAAGAAACTTGACACAGAAAAATCGCCCCTTTCCGATTTTTTTGATTTTTTAAATAGGAGTTTTACAATGAGAAATAATTAAGAAATTTCTATATTCCTTAGAAGAAAAATAAAAACAAAAGTCAAAATTGATATTCAAATTGCCATTGTGTATCCCAGCGGTTGAGGAAACGGTCAATTTCTGATCTACTCGGTCTTGATGTTAAAATATTTTGAGATAAAAAGTGAGTTAACTGCTTACTAAATGTGAAACCTAATTTTTATTTTTATTTGAATTAAAAAACAAAAACATTCTATTTACAGTAAAAATCATATCAATCCAAAGACACTTACAAGATGAGTCACTACTCTACTACTGAGGCTGTGCTGCGACTGCATTAGTGAAATCTAAGATTAAATCTTAAATACAAATTCATAGGTTAACTGAATCAAACTGAACATATTAATAAGTGATGATACTATCAGCTGTGACTTTACAAACATTCTTTTTGTCTGTAGAGCTGAATAACGCATATCTATCTACCAGTATAAGTAGTCTACATACGGATAACGTGAAACCCCGTTATATTCTTCATCTGGTATTTCAGACGAATTGATACGAAGTTGTTCAGACAAAACAAATAATAACTGTACATTATCATTTCTACGTATTTTTACAAATATACTTAGTAAGTGTATATAGATGTATCAATCAAATGTATGTTGATTGAAAATAAATATCTCTCAGATTATAATTCAAGGTGATTGGCATTAAAACGAACCATGATCGAAACTTTTAAATGATTTTGGAAATGAATGTATAAAGAAAAACACAACTTCACATTTTTTTCCAGAAACACAGAACTAACGTGGTTTCACTGCTGCCAAAGCTTCATCTATAAACGAACACGCAAAACCCTACGGTTTACGCGTCAAAAACTCTAAATTAACAAGAGTTAAGTGTTTACCCAATCTCAAATTTGTACCAATATCAGTAACCACTCTGAAATACACTGATATACAATACCTTCAACACAATAACTTACATTTTGTTTGCCTCTTGACTTTTTCTTGAAGATTAAATGAGTACATATTTTGATGTTACACACATCCACCCTAACATTTTACATATCAAACACTGTTACTTTGTCAGGTTGCTCAAAATCTGAAAAGGCTCTTTTGATAAAACCAATAGTTCTTGTTTTAACCGGTAATAATAATTAAAGTTTGATCATTTATCTGATGTCGTTATTGACTCCTTAAACATTTGAATATGGATGCTCTAATATCAATATTTATAAATTCATATATAATGTATGTGTATTACAGAGATGTATACATATACTGTAATCGATCGTATAAGCATCTGATCCCATATATGCGCCCTCTATCCCTTTTCTATTCCAAGCGCACATAGTGTATACTTTTTTTTGTTAAAACTTGAAATGCTCCGTTTTCTAGTGTTTCAAAATTTCTAAGCACAAAGAGTGTTTATTGGGTCAAATACAGCCAACTTTTTTCAGATTTTGGACAACAATATTCGAGAAGAGAACATAAATGTACGTAAAACCTTCCAATAACACAGCAACAACGGTCACACTATCATCCTGTAACATGCAGTGACCCAGCACAACTGTACACATACACTGTCACATGCAGACATTTCTCAGTGTTATCAACATTATAACTGTATCTAACTGGTTCTTTAGACAAACAGTTCCATTTCTTAACCGACATATTAGACCAATAAACGCTAAGCATGTTAAACACGTGATAACAAGTAGGCCACAGTGACCTAAAAACACATATCCTGCAACATGATTGATGCATTATTAATGTAGTAAGAACCATTGAATTTTGATGTCGCATTTTTTCAAACTGTCCAGATTTCCACTCTGAGAATATTGACTAAATGATACAAATTTTTTGATAACAATTGACCTTGAAAAATCAAAGTTAGATTTCACATTTAAAGATAATCCTAAATCTATCAAATTTGATATTTTTGAATGAAAAATAGATTCTTTTGTTTTTTGAAATATCAAACTTTAGATGAAAAATTAAGATTTTTTTGCTATGACTTCTAAAATGAATAGAATGTTTTTAATTTTAAAAGTTTAACTTTTAAGTAACACAGGACGTTTTGTACATCAAAATTTAAGGGTGTTGACTATGTGGAATTATTCAGCAGCTGCAGCCCAAAATGATGATAAAATGCCATGCAATCTACTGCCATGCATTGGCGGCCATTCCTGCCCATAACATTGGTATATACTGTGGAAAAGCCACAAACACCTATACCTCAGTGTAAGAGCGCTGAAACATGAAGCGAGGAGACAGAGGGGCCAGAGGTCGTCTCCGCAAGTATTTCTGTTAATAGGGTGTACATCATTTATTTTGTTTTATTTTCAAGAATATATAGTACATTTGAAGAACAATGAATCATGTTTGATCCTGTTAAAAATAATTTGAAGTTACCATTATGTATTTATGCATCTTCATTAAAAACGGGTAAAAATACAATTAAAAAAAATATGAAATTGAAAAAAATATTTATAAGATTTTGGAAAAGAACTAAATACAATTTTTGTTTGAAATTCAATTCTAATTTTTAGATTAATAAAGACATAGCAATTCTGTGCTTCGTTTAAATGAAAAAATGCTGGTCAAAATTATCTGTTTGATGTTGTATTCTCACGTTTATTAGAAAAAACAAGTTCACAGGGTCTAAATTCTAACTCCATTGCATTTTATTCTGAACTAATGATGGATCAGTGATTTTGCGAAATGATCCACAACACTGTTATAACATGGTACTGATAGATTTACAGACACACATGTTAAACATAACGTGAATACTTACGTTTATTTTGACACCCTTTTGAAGCTCAGCTGCAGTTGTTTTCTTTCCTTTGTTGATGTCGGTGGCTGGTGTAGGACTGTCGGCAGCGCCCTTTCTCCCCATGGGGCTCGGACTTCGTGATCGCCCTAATTGCATTAAATATGAAAATAATGAGTTTCATTTTTGTAATACAGGCATTTTGCATTATAAATTTTGATTTATAATACGTATAAATGCTGTGTTATATTAGCACTTACTGGCATTGATTCCCATAAATGTGAAAAGAAACCTTAACTGTAATTTATTTCCCATGACAAGCCATACACTGTCAAATTACGGTTAATCAGTTACATTTAAATGGTACATTTTGTTTTAAGAATATAAATGAATGGCACTATATTCCAACGAATTCTTTTTTATTCCTTTAACTTTGCTAAATAGAAATATTTTTTCGAAACTTTCTTAATAAAACGTTAATGTGAATTTAAAAGATCTTAACAAAGGACCATAGAAGCACAGATATGTGTATAAAAGCTGTGGAAAACAGTGATGACAATTCGTGTAATTTCCTGAATAATGTTAAACAGTTGTGTTGCGTGTCAAAGTACATGTAAGCAGACGATTTTGCATTCTGTTTGTGATACAATACTTGGCTATACAATACATACACACACCGTGAGTTTCAACTTATATGTAAATAGTTTGTATATAATCACACACTTGTAACACGTACAGTAAATCAGGTGTAAAACAAACACCCGTGGGACCTAAGAAATTTACAGTAAACTGTTTTACTGTCGTCTCTTTTCCAGCAAAATATTGACAATATCAAAAGGTCTGGAGCATTGTGAAGAGGGAAAGATACCAATTAAATATTACGAAAAGGAGGGACATTGGAATGCACAGGCCATTGCATGGCAATAAATGATTTTTATGAAAAATATTTCTTTTATCTTTCTTTTCAAAAAATTAGCGAAATTTTGAATTATTTAACTGATCATATTAGATGCAATAAATTAAAATTATACTACTTTTGTCACTAATAGTAAAGGGTTCCAAGTTCAAGTTACTTAATTAGTTTTATGCTTAATCAGTTCTAGCAGCAGAATTGTCAATCAGAGTTTATGTTTAATGGGATTCTCTACCATTTTTTTGAAGAAAAATCTTACTTCAAAATGGGAGTGAATATTACTAATTATGATATTAAGGTATACTAATATCAAATACCCCATAAACAAGTGATTACATAGATACAAAACAATATGTGAAACAATATGTGAAGCGCCAAACAAGTGGGTATCTCAGTAAATACATGTACATGAAATAATTCTGTGAACTGAGAATAAACGCAAAAACATATTTAAGTCTGTATTAATAATGAGTTCGTTTCTGTGTCATTTATATCTAAAATTTATCATAACACAAGACTTTAATAAGAATGAAATGCACTTAACACATCTATCAAAGATAAGTACCGACTGGGTTTTCGTTCTGGAAAAAGTAGTGAACAACTTCCCTTCACTACTTATCCTCTGAAAGGTTTTGCTGATCAATGATGTTTCTACTATTTTAAAGTACTCTATAAAACTGAACCTTAGTATCAACAAAACTTTTTTTTAATTAATCTCTCTTAAGGTTAGTACTTGTTACACATAATTCAGTAATGTATACGTACATTCAACAGATGTTTTAATATAAAAAAATATAGTCACCGAAAAATTGATTTCATCCGATGTTTAAATATATATAAAATAAAAACTGTTCACTTAAAATTCATTTTAAAAAGTGACAATGGAAATGAAATTGATACACAAGCGAAACATTAGTGCATCAAACTTATCATGGAGGAATGTTAATGACTGGGGGAGGTGTTCCAGATAAAACAAAATGCAGCCAACTTACGAGCCGCGCCTATAAAGGCCACAGCAGCCCCCACTTTTTGTACAGCAGATAAAATGGGAACATTTTCTGGTACATCCGGTGGACCTTAAAATACCATTATGATTTTTACTTTGCTGTCGTATTAAGGTATATTTGTGTATATTTATGTACAGTGAAATTTCAGTATTTGTTCCGTAAAATTGGGATTTTTTTTACATTAATCCCACAAAGAAAGTGTCTGGAATACTGTCCAAAACAACCCAATGTATGATGTTTGAAACAGTTCATCTACACACATTGAAAACATCTGTCGACTGCCAGTTTATAAAATAAAACTATCTCCATGACACCCAATGTTTACTTATTTCTCCACATGTTACTATACATAGGTTTAATTCTATTTCCATGCCTTAACAGTAAACTGAAACAGTTTCTGTCATTTTCATGAAAGTCCTTTAAACTGTGAAAGGAGGAAATATTTTTAAACAAAATACTACGGTAAGTTCATTTCTAACACACAAAGCACTAGACTATTAACTGAGAATCACACAGAACTAAAAGCAATCTGAAAAAAAAGTAAGCTTCAAACATGTCAGCAACCTAAATTAAAAATTGTAAAAGTCAGAGCTTTAGATGTAAGCAGTGTGTGTTAGAGCGCAGCAGAAATTGTGCTGCCTTGCCTCGTCTTCGGCCACCACGCCCACCGTTAGGCTGAGTTAGGCTGCCACGCCCACCATTAGTCTGGGTTAGGCCGCCACGCCCACCATTAGGCTGAGTTAGGCCGCCATGCCCACCGTTAGTCTGGGTTAGGCCGCCACGCCCACCGTTAGGCTGAGTTAGGCTGCCACGCCCACCATTACTCTGGGTTAGGCCGCCCCGACCTGTGTTAGTCTCATTAACCCAACTGTCAATGTTAGCACTTGATTTGTTTCTACCTGATGTCCATGACATACTGGCACTGAAAGCTCCGCCTGAGATCAAACGTCAAAGCATATCAACTTGGATTATAAAATAGATTGAAAAGCAGCAGCGAATACCCGGTAGATGAGAATATTTTGTTCTATTTATTTGTGGTTTTAGATTTTTCAGGAATAGCTAAATTCTGGCACTGCTGATAAAAGATGTATGTAAAAATAGCGTTTGTGATTTCAGATTATTTTGACGATAATTGAATGTAAAAATATTTTTCTGTATATATTAATTTAGTACAGTTGAAAATAGGTACTTGATTTCAATGCATCTTTTGATATTTTAAATGTGCACACAACATGTATGTGTGTGATACAATGACGAGGAAGACTTTGGAAGAAAAGGTACAAATCAATATCTGCCAAATGTGTATCTTATAATATTTTACGGAATTCCATTTCAAACCTAAGAAAATACATAAATAATTGAAAGAACTAAATGTTATATAAGGGGAGATAACTAGCTTGCAGCAAAGGAGCAACAGCATATCACTGCCCAGCAACCATGTTAGGGGTTCCAGCAAAACAGTGCTGTAGCTTAAATGTTTATACAAATGTGGACTTCATCCATCAAAATAGAAATATTGAAATTACAAAAAAGAAATTTGAAAATATATAATAGTTCAGTAGAAGTAACAGAAAAGAATTTTATTTTATTAAAAATTGTTAAACATTACAAATTTTACATAAAAGTGGTCTATTTATAGTAAGGAGAAATTATGTAAAATGTTAAGTTGTAAAAAGAACTTAAAAATGCAAAACAGAACAGGATATTTTAACATAAAATATCCAACATCCTCTATTTGAATGTTCTCTTCCAGCATCATAATTTTTCCATTTATGAACCATTTTTTTCAGAAATACCCACCTCCTATACGGATACATTCCTCTTTGTGACGCGCATTCCAGGCCTTCAGTTTGCATGCCTTACTGCAGTAATACACCTCTTTACACCTTGTACATGCAGACAAGCGCATGCCTACTGAGCGACCGCATTCGTAACAGTATTTGAAAATAGGCTTCCTGTAAAAAGAGAGAATGGAATATTAATGTGTTGTGGTTTACGACATTATCAGATATAGTAGAAGCCTATATTTGTTGATATTTATTTATTAATAAAATATTTATTTGTTTATACATATATGTTTAGAAATAAATTTAATAGTGTCCATGTGATCGGTACAATGAACATAAATGCACAAACTAGGAGACAGTGTAGCGCTAGCTGATGAATCGTTTGTTTTCTTATTTTTTACAATAGTCCCCCGAAATACCGTACCCGCTTTGTTCTATTGTCAACTCCACACATTGCCATGCTTTTGATAGAAACATTTTCCCTATTATATAAAACCCCGTTAATACTGCCATCTCCCGTATACTCAATCGGGAAAAAAATACATATTATAGAGCAATGAATTGACATTACTATGAAATATACAATACAACATCCCTGCCAACATAACACATGAACATTTCTACTTTCAGAGTGATTCTGATATTCAAAAGACTCTGGTAGGATACTGGCAACTAAAATCTTTCTCAGTCTGTATTATTTACATTAAATATCTGAAACTATACATTTATCAGAGATTTATTGCTATTGATATCAAAATATAATTTTAAAGTCTTCCGATGTTTCATCTTATTAGCAGGTTAACTCTGGGTTCAAAACTTACACTTGTAAGTATGCTAAATACAAGTTGACTAACCATTTGTAGGCTCAAATATTCCCCACTTGAAATATTATACAGGTTGCTATTTCCCAGTCTATAATATTCTAATACAATATTTTAAAATAGAATGTAACTACACTTTGCATTTTTGTTGACAGTTTATGATTTCATTCAACAGCTATATTTTGTACTTGCTTGCAAACTTTTGTGAGTAACTAAAAACCTTGAAGTTAGTTTCCAGCCAGTGTTACTTCTATGTATAGTTGAGTAATACACTCAACCATTATATACAAGTTTGTTTGTTAGTCATAACATTGCCAGGTTAATTCTTACAATTTCAAAATACTGAACACTTTTCTGGCATCAAATTTTCACTCTAAGAGCTAGCTCTATAAATATATAGAAATATGCAAAATCTATAATGAAGTTTTCTTTTATTCTCTTCTTGTTCACTTTTGAGAAGATGGCAAAAACCCTTCAATTCCTGAAAATTGTTTTTTCATAAACTTTGACATGCAACAGAAAAAGCACTTCTGGACATAGTGTTTAGTTAGCCTTTAACCATGTCACTAGGAATATAAAATCACTCATTAGATTATAACATTAATTCTTTTTAAATACATAAATTGTTCAAACACATATACATTTACACATTACAGTCATTTAACTTGTCTTGTTAACTAATTTTCTGGCAATTATTCAATGAAAATCAAACAAAATTTCACAAATCGTACTTAATTTTTTACTCTTGCCATATGTCTTCCAAACAAATATCAATAAATCCAATAACAAAAAATTGCACATGAAGAGGTCGAGTCCTCAATCCCTTGATTTACGACTTGTACCAGACATAAGGGGAAGGTTTAAGTTGTAAATAGAGCAAAACATTATCTAAATCAAAACATTCTTGAAACAGAAGTAGTAAAATAAGCTGTTGTTTTTTAAATTCGGTTGAAGACTCATTGACTTATCACCCGAAAAGATATGGTTAACAAGAAAAGTGTTATAGACAGTAAGGTAATTATTTAGCATGAACATCCACTTCAATCAATAACAGCACAGTCAATTTGACCAATGCAATATTTTTCCTGATTAGTATATCTTGGGATTCATCCTTGTAATCATCGGAGCAAATGCATGCATCTAATGTTGCTTTAAGTCAAATGTTTGTTAAAATGGTCAACCTTAAATTCAACAACAAACCATCAATGCTCAAATATCGTTGAAATACACATTTAAGGATTTTCTGAATTCTAATGGAAGAATTTATAATTTTAATGAAAGTGTCTATATAATGACAATGTAAAATTTTCAAACATATTATTTATCAATAAATTCTATAAAATAAAAGTGTAACCTTACAAAAGTTCTGCAAAATAATGAATTTTCAAGTATTTGTTTCTTCTCCTATCTCTATATTACAAATCCTTAACTTCGCTTATAAAATGCTTAAATCTGAACCTTTTGAATCGCAAACTAAACAAACTCAAATATAATTCATGTCAAATAGAGATGCTCTGGAATATAATTAAGTGCGGGTAGAGTGCAAAATAGGATTGAACATGTCACTTATAGATAGACCGCTGACACTGTTTGGCATGGTACTGATAATGGTGGTTGATGTTAGTTAAAACTTAAGGGTTTATTGGTAGATTAGATATTAGTGCTGGTCTAGCCCACACAGTTACAAAGACATGTAGAGGTACGTGCAGTGGACTCCAGTGATAGGAGCTCTGTAATGAGCTGGTAGACCCGTGCAAGTGGTGAATAAACTCTAGACTGGAACACAACAAAACATGGAATGCTACATCACTGCGTCAACTAAAGCTAATAATACAGGTCATATATCAGTTGTGCTTTCACTGATCATTAAAAAACTAAAAAGAAAGAAAAATACAAATTTATCAACAAAATTAGGTATCCAGGTTATTTTTACAAGATTTGAGGTTCAAATTTTTTATGAAAATAGTCTTTGATTTTACTCCCAAAGTTCAAAATTTTTCTCATGCTTTTTCTTTCTATCAGCTTCTTCAGTTGTCAGTATTTTTTTACATGTAGTGTAACATTATGTTATTATCATTTTACTCAGGTTCTCCTTGCTTTCACTAAACAATCTGTTATTATCATGATTTTTTTTTAAATTAATGAAATAATCCTTTTATCTAAATTAACTCTTTGAAAATGTAAATGGTTACCAAATAGAAAAAAAAAGTAGTTATTTCTCATTATGTATAGATTTATAAAAAAAAAAACATACACGGCTAATTTCTATTTTGAATGGACAAGAATTAAGAATTATAAAAATTAGATATGTTTATGGTATTCTGTTAAAATCCTAATGATATTTCTACAAAATAAAATCTACAAAATATCTACTGTAATGAAAAACTATTAAAAACTATAAAATATGAAACAAAAATATACATTGTAACTGAAACAAGATCATATTCAAAACTGAATTTCCAGTTACATCATTGTGTTAAAGAGAGGAAAATTATGACAATTATCCAAGTAAGAAAAAGGATAACTGAGTCGAGTCCACAGAAGACTAAACTAGCCAAGTCTCTAGAAGACTGACAGGTGTGTATTCCGTCTTTGCGTATTGCAGAGTTATCTTCTCTTGGGAGCAGGTATTGATTGTTACGTCATTGGTCTGTGTGAGAAAATTACGTCGTTTTCTCAAAAATTGATGACGTTTCTCTCACAAACAAGTGACGTAACAATCAATACCTGCTCCCAAGAGAAGATAACTCTGCAATACGCAAAGACGGAATATTCTACGATGGACTATTATCCTTGCAAGGGGAGACAACTACATTAACAAAATAGTCTGCTAATTTCAAACCTGATATTGTCTGTTTTATTAGTTTTTCTGAAGTATGACTTTGTCGACCTAGATCTCCGTTGTTTGCCAGACGAGGTGCTAGAAACGTTACAGACACAATAATGAAACTGACATGTGGGTAATGTGGTAACATTGGAGATGTACAACCAAGGGAGGGAACTTTTGATGTTACCTTAGATGTGGCCTTTTGTCATGGTGGAAATAAAAATGCTATGTGATTATTTTTCCGTTATAAAATTGAGAATTTATTGCAAAGGATTTTCTTTAATATACCTGTTATTTGACAATTAACAATTGTTTCTTAATAAAAAAAAAAAGTAGATACTGAAAGTAGAAAAGTTATATATCAGTACTTGTTTAGAAAAATACCCTTCTGTATCAAAATAAAACAAAATTTATGAAGCAGAAAATATCACGACTTGGATTAATTATGTGAAAGGTTCAACATTTTTAACAAAAAACTTGTTTACCATCATCAAAACAATAAAGAGAAAAAGACAGACGAAAGGTTGTTTTAAGAGACTACAATATCCTAGTAAATTTCAAGTTGATATATTTAGCAAGTATTTCTTAACTATGATAAGATGTAAATCAAAAGGAATAATAATATATACAATAAAATCTAAAATCAATTATTTCTTACTAAAAAAAAACAGATCCATCATATCATTAGAGAGAAATATGTTTCTAATCATAATCGGTTAAATCTGAAGCATCTTAAAGCATAAAGTTAAATCTAGCATGTAGTGATGTTTGCCTTTTGCGGAAATCGTGAGAAATTTTCAATTTAAAATAAAGTGCAAATAAAATATATTCTTTTCAAACTTCACAACTTAAACTGAAGCTAGTACAATATAACTTGCGTAAAAGTTACCTGGAGGGTAAAGTTCCCGGGTCCCGCTCGGGGTATCCTCTCCCCATTATTGCTCCTTCTTTTGTGGTGGCATCAAACGTCACCTTGCTCTCGCCTCCAGGATCGGCTCGTAAAGACTTTGGACGACGTGAGTCTGAGGGAAGGTCGGCCCCGGCACCAACATAGACAAAGTTAGGACTGGGACTGCGGCCTAAAGTAACAAAACTGACTGTTAAGTCTGCAGATTTCAATAGATATAAGTTATACAGAAATTTTTATGGATGATATCATTAATTCATTCACCCCTGAAATTTCATAATGAACTATTCCAACCTTTGAATTGGAAGAGTTCAAAGGTGTCTTCAGGGGTGAATGAGTAATTGCACTACTGAATGTTTATAAGATGTCTGTCAAATAAATGCTTTTAAGGTTTATATGTTTTGTTCCAATCAGAGACTGAAGGTAAGTTCTTGCAATTTAAAAAACAAATAAAACACCTTCCCAAGACATGCATGAAGGTTATTCACCAAATAGTGATGAATGTTTATCATGTTGGTTTAACTGTCTCATCTTCCTGATCAGTCAAAGAGAGTCAAAATGAAATTGAATATGCTGTTTCTTCGTTACAAATGGTACTGACCCTGTACAAAGTTTCAAAGAAATCTTCTAAACATTAGAGTAGGGTACGTCTGCCAATTTCACAAGAAGGGACATAATGAAATGAGGCATAACTCCACGGAATTGCATCAGAATGAAAAATAAATTCATTATTAAGACCTAATTTGCATAGTGATAAATTCTGTAAAGTTTCATTGAAATCTATGCAGCAATCCATCCAATCTTTTATCTATAGACCAACAGACAAACCACAACACTGATTCTAGCACATCCCCCATTAACTGTATTGCAGCTGTGTAAAAATAAGATATATTTCCAGAAGTCATTCTACAAAATAAGCTAACATGACAAGTAAATTCTTTATATCAATCCTGATATATAATTCACACAAAACTTACTCCTTTTGCCCAAACTTATTTCATCTTCTAGTCGTCGTCTTTCGCGATCCACTGCTTTGGTGCGCAGGATATCTCCAATATGAGCGAGCAGCTTACGACGAGCATTGTATGTTTCTCGCTCAGCATGCGTCAGTGCATGGTAAGGCATGTGTGCAATACGACGATCCTAAAGTTGTGATTGATAAAATTGTGATTGAACAAAAAAAATAAAAATTAATCATGCAACTTATTAATCATGAAACTCAATCGGATTGAATTTTCGAAGTGTAATAAAATCATGCAGAAATAATGAAATAAAATGGTCATGAGAAAAGTGAATAATTTTTAGGCATTTTCATGAGATAAAACATTGTTGAAAATAACATTGGAATTGATTACCATGATTTCAAAAACCTTTTGACAGAGAGGAAACAAATTTCTAGCATCAGCAAAATGAATTTTAATGGTGCTAACACAATTAATTTCAATCAAACCTAATTTTGACTTCAGGGACACAGAAGTAATTAAGAAATACTTGAAATATCAAACATGGAAAAATCCATATACCACCATTCCTGCATGGTGAAAATATAGCTAAATGATAAAGTTTAACTGAAGAAATGGAGCTAAATTCAAAGTATACTAAAGTAAGTTAAGCAAAATAAAACATATCATAGTGACCTACATTTGATATAATGGTAAAGTACTACTTGTATCCACTTAAAAAGTTTGATGACTTCTAGAGTAATGGAGCTTATCGCAAAGCACAATGTACTTAAGGAAATCCCAGGGCTCTACGGGGGCCCTATATATATATTAGTTGCCTCATATGATAATGCAATGGGAATGAGCAGGTCAAAGGATACTTTGTTCCCAAACCTAAAGAAGGCACTTGCTTTAGACAGATGATTTCATGAAAAAAAGGAAGATTCATTCAGGTAACAGTTCTTCATTCATCGATTCATCATTTTGATTTTATTTTTAGGAAAAAAAATACAGACTTGAGGTAATTTATTGTATGATTTTATTTGTCGCTATGTACACAATGGACTGTCTAGATTATATTCATCATTTTTATATATTATTTATAGGATTGACAAAAATGTGAAGTTGACTGGTAAATATATTCATGAGAGATCAAACAACAGAACTGGGTGTTGGGTAGGAAATGTGAGTCAAATGAGCAGGGGTTTCTGTGTAAATTAAAAAGGAAAGGGGCGACAGACAACGCCTTACCTGGTTAAACATGTAGTAGGCGTAATCCACCGCTGTGCCAATGACACGTTTTGGGCCAATCGGTATAGGAGCAAGAATGTTAGCACCCGCTCGCACCAGCTTGTCAATCTGTTCAGCAAAATAAAACTCCATTTGTGTATGAAAAGTAATACAGCAGATTTCACTTAAAGTCAAATCACTAAATGTCACATTTTTGTTAATACATGTAAAGTGATTTTCTAAAGTATCTTTTTTTCTACATCTACTGGATGCTATTTATTTTTTATTTTTATATCATGTGATTTCACAAGATCCCCTCTTAATATCATGTGCTATCATCAGTGTCCTAACACATGTAAAATGACCCATTTAGGCCTAACTTGACCTAGGGCAAATACTGGGGACTTTTTATTTCTCTTCCTTGGCTTGAAATGAAGATATTCAAAATCTGATCTTGTAAAAGATACAAAACTTATCTTCAAAGAAACATATTTTCGCAGGAAAATATTTCTGTTTATAAATTCTGTATATGAAATTATAAAACCATCTAAAACTGTGTAATTGATATGCACTGACAAGCTTAAGAATGAGATAAATGTCTTCAATCGATTGCCTTTTGTTTGAAAACTAGATTTCTATCAAATTCAAAATATACATTGATATATAAGCTTTCAATCAAACTATTGTTATTAGTATCAATTGTCAGTAGTTACCAGTTGAAGACGGCCGTTTATCTGTCGTCGATGTTCATATTCCGTGGAAGTGGCCGCACAGAGGGCGCTACCAACACCATGGGTTAGAGCGAGGCTCGTGTCGGCACCAAACAGAATCAACTCATCTAAGGCCTGTTGATAAAATGAGAGTTAAGGTATAGTGGGTGATTTAGTTTTCAATTTAGCTTAAAAAGCTAAAAAAAACTGTTGTGAATGTCTTTAAAAGGTGTATTTGGTTGAAAATCTAATTTTCATAAAATGGTCATGCAATTTTAATAATGAACATTTGTTTATTAACATTTCAAATGGTACTTACAGTACCATACAACATCAATTTATAGTAAGAAATTATACATTCAGATTCTTTTCATGTTTTATACATGATTTCTTTATAAACATATTCTAACATGTAGGCGATATAAAGATGTTTTTCACGGGTAAAAAAATGGATTACTGGACAACAGACTATAGCTATGCAAGCACCCCAATCATTAATCACACAAAAACGCGTTTTGCTTTATACAGCATGGTGGAATAGATATAATTAAGATATATTTGTACATCATGGTAGAATATACAACTCGGGATTAAAAAAAATAAACAATGACCTATTTTCTAATGCTGGTTACATATTCTATCATACAGTGGAACGTATCTTCTGCATCCAAACTTACTAGGTCATTTCCACAGGCTATTGTCAGAGCAATGGGAGAAAATCCGTTACACATGAGGTTAGGGTTGGCCTTGTGTTCCAACAGTAGTCGGGTCACTCGACAGGCTACCTGTGTAACACACAAATAATACAGAATCACAAAACATTCCGCCTTATATATAGTCTTTCTAATAACGCAAGTCACTTAATTTTTTAGATTGTTTTTCCAATGATTAAATGTTCACGATATGTTTGAACTTGTGATCAACTTACATTTGTCACAAAGATTAAAAGGTCTGGTAAATTTTCACTTTTATTTTTCGAAAAATTATACTTTTATTATCGCCATTTGAATTTACTTTAGCAAACAGTTAATTATTCAGAGCCACATTAAAGAATGGAATTAGTGAAGAATCTTTTAGTTCAATATTAAGTGCCCTGACAGAAATTTTTAATTCAATATTAAATGCTACGACAGATTCTCTGACTGCTGTATGTTGTGTTTTTAAGAAGAAAAAAAACATGATTATTACACTTTCTAATTTTTGTGGAGATGCCAAAACATTTTCCCAAATGAAGAGGCAAAGTCTCCTGTTGAAGGCAGACAGAGAAATCACAGGATTATTGTTGACTTTTATCCCCAATCCTAGTAAACAAACCTTGTAGTTGTCATCGCGTGCACATGCTATCTGTAGTGGTGTACGCCCACCCAGGCGGGCTAGACTCTCAGGCATAATGGCGTCTTTACTCCACTCCTCCGCCTAAAACACCAACCAAAAACTCATACTTAGGATCACATATGACATTAGGTGTTTTGTTCTATTTCACCTAATTGGCACTGATATTTATATTGATAACCTAACCTGTATATAAATCTAATTTCCTTTTTATTTGGACATCCAATTTATTACCATATTTATCCAGCAATAAGCCCTTGCCTGGCAATAAGACCACCAATATATTTTGCAGTTTGGTAGATTTGGTGGACATTCTGACAAATGTTATTTCATTGTCCTTTAATAAGTCCATGACTCTACTTTGATTCATAGATTATCTTGTATGTGTTGGCCCCCTGGGCTAACTTTAGGATAAATAAGTTAAATAAATTAAGTGAATTTTACAACACATTCAAATGGATTGATCTGATTCCTGTACCATAACATTTAGTTTAAAAAAAAAGAAAAACAATCCTGTACCATAACATTGAAGAAAGAAAGAAAAAACCAGAAATAAATTACGTATACAATTTTTCTATATTACCAGACTCCTGTTGAGAAATGAGTCATCCTCGGCAGCTCTGACATCAGGATCAGCCAGAGCATTGAGGAGGAGCTCAGTAATGAGTACTCCCTCCTCGCCCGGGATTCCAGCTGCAATGTGTAGCGGGGCCAGGCCTCCTTTCTGAAATACAGTAAGACAAGCCTAGTAGAGACAATGAATTAAACATTCCACTAGTTAAAACATACCATTTTTTGGCAATAATTTTAAACTGAACTAAATGTTTTTAAAATATACCAAGAGAAGATATAATTACAGTAACTGAACTAAAGCGTTTCCTTCCCAAAAACATATCATCTTTAATAAGAATATAAAATTGAACCAACCATTTGAAAAAAAATTAAAAAAATCATGACATATATATGTACGGTAGTTTGGTTTTATAACTTAAATTCATAAATTTTGATCACGTTCAGGGAATATAATCAACTGAAAAGGATCATTAAAGCTACAACAAATTAATTCTCAATGTAGAATTTTAAATATTAACACAATATTTAGTAAGAAATATATTTTTCTCTATGACAAAATATCAAAGTACCAGGTATGTTTAAAATATTTAATGTCAGTGTCCCTTCAACCTTCCATCACCTGTGAGAAATTTCTCGTGAAATGAGATTTTCTGTGCTTTGCAACTTCATCTAAATACCAAAAATAATCCACCATCTACACAGCAACCAAATACATTAAACTAATAACAATAGTGTACCATACATTATTGTATATTCCAAATGAAACTAAACTTAACACCTATGTTTCCGGTAATGGAAAGAGGGTAACAATTTTCACTCTGTTTAAATTAGGCTGACTTTTTAATGAAAAATTACATTAAGGTAGTTAAGGCAAATTAAAATTGGCAGCAAAACTTGCAGGGTATATGTAGTCACTTAAATTTGTGTATGTAGGTTTACCGGAAACACAGGTATACATGTATGTTTACTGTGGACCTAAAAGGGGTTTCCTTGAAAATTTTACTGGAATTGAAACGATGCTGCATGAATTATATACAATAAAACCTTGTTATACTGCCACCATTTATCACTAGTTTTCGTTATTTGACAATACATGCATATTAATGAATAATTAATAATAATAATAATTTTAGGTTCTTATATACCGCTTTATCTCAACCTAGTTTGTAGGTCGTCTCAAAGCGTTTCACAAATTATTATCCGTGGTTATAGGGACTTTGCAACCAGCCAATACCTTTCTCAACTCCCTAGGGAGCATACAGCCGGAGCTACCATTTTGGCGCTAACAGCTAGCATTCAACAATTCTAGCACCGCCCAACCACGTACTCATTTACAGCTGAGTAGACTGGAACAAGCGGAGTAAAGTATCTTGCTCAAAGATACAACACAGTGCCGTGACGTGACTCGAACACGCAACCCTTCGGTCACGAGCCCGGCGTCTTACAACTGGACCACTGTGCCTCCTGAGTAGAATAAACAAATGTTTAAGAAAGGAAACGGGAACACTGAGATAGTGTATGCTGGCAGTATGTTTTTTAACGTGGTGTCAAATGAAATAAGGGGCATAATATCAAGGTTTTACTGTAATCTAAATTACTGTATATGTACTGTATAAGTATGGAGTTTTGGGATTCTGGAATTTCTAACCACAGGTTAATGAGTCTAGCTATTTATCTTTGATCTATACAATCCTGATCTTGTTGTGTGCTTAATCTCGCTGTGTGCTAAACAGATTTAGAGGTTTGTCTGACCAGAACTTACATTTTGATGTAAAAGGTTACAAATTCAGTTAAAGGTTCAAATATCTCCTATAAAGTCACAATATGAGGGTGACATTACAAGACAATGATAAAATACTATCACAAAATCTATGATCTAGGACTTTCTTCTTTGTTACTGAAGCATTGTAATTAACCTAAGGCATACAGTGAACTTTTGTTCTACTAATGAAATTATATAAAATATATAATTATATAGTGGGGAACATAACATTTTCCATCCACATTTGCATTAAGTCATATATGAATTGTAATCGTTAGTAACAGTTTAGCCCTCTCCTGCCTATAAATTGTCTACAGAGCACCATACTGCCCAGAGATTTCCATATTTGGCACAAAAACATTACCATAGTTACCTCAGAATTAAACGTTTTACCATATTTACCATAGAACTCCATTTTACCATGTATTTATTAGTAATTTATTACCATATAGTTACCCAAGAATTATTACCATAGTTACCCCAGAATTGTTACAATAGTTACCCCAGAATTATTATCATAGTTACCCCAGGATTATTACCATAGTTACCCTAGAATTATACCATATTTACCACAGAATTATTACCATAGTTACCCCAGAATTACTACCATTATTACCACAGAATTATTACCATAGTTACCACAGAATTATTACCAGTTACCCCAGAATTACTACCATAGTTACCCCAGAATTATTACCATAGTTACCCTAGAATTATACCATATTTACCACAGAATTATTACCATAGTTACCCTAGAATTATACCATATTTACCACAGAATTATTACCATAGTTACCCTAGAATTATGACCATCATTACCACAGAATCATTACCATAGTTACCAAGAATTACTACCATTATTACCACAGAATCATTACCATCATTACCACAGAATTATTACAATCATTACCACAGAATTGCATGTTCTATCATATTTCCCAAATATATCTTTATTTACCTTACCCAAGAATTATTATTACCATAGTTACCACACAATTACTGCCATCATTACCACACATTTCAGTGTTACTTTCACCACCATGTGTATCAGTATATGTAGGGAAATACTTTTGCTCTGGGAAAACTGTTTAGTTATTGTGCTTGCTTAAAATATAACTTATACAGATGGTCCAAAATCTAATCAGATTAACCTTTAATTAAGTTAACATTATACATACAAATGTATATACATAAACTTATCCAAGTTGCATAGTTTTTATATTTTAAATTATAACTTCAATATTTTTATTTTTTTTAATTTAATATCAAATGTTGGATATTTATTTTCATACAGGGCAGTTTCAAGTCATTCAATTGGAACTTGAAACAATGGATATCCCATCCCCACTTCATTTCAAAGAAACAAAACTGATTAAAATAATTTGAAAGTCATGAATAAAAGAACTCTAAAATGAATCATGCACAATGAAGCATGCAGGTAATGACAGAAACATTTCATCAATCAGGTATTTAGGTAAACTAAACTGTTTCTAAAAGAAGGAAATAAAAAAATAAATGACAAAATAAGACATGAAGGGAACGAGAATAAAAGAGACTCCTACAACTGTGTAAGTGATAATGTACCGTGGTGTCGTGGCCATTGACCAGTATTTTGAGCTGTGGAACAAATGAAATCAATCCAACTTAAAAATAACACACATCAATCACACTCCAGGTTCAATAAACTGTCAATAAAATCAACATTTCTCTAATACATTACAGATTATGCTATAAAATGATATGATTATAAAATGATTATAATACATGCATATAAATATGTTAAACGCTTTTTTTGCTCTTTGTTTTGATAACAGGAAAATATAAGACAACCCTCAAATCAGAACTTAGTCTTGAGTTGTTCAAGATACAGGGGATTAAAGTTTATCACAAGTTTTAATCAGTCCAGAGTTTTTTGACAGGATTGGTTAAACTGTGATACATAATAATCCACTATCCACTATTAGTGTTTTTCTGAAAAAGGTAGAGGATTATAAGACCACTCTTTATACTCCACCATCACAATATCACATTTCTGTGACTACATGGTTATGCCGGAGTCATAATGACTTTTAAATAACATGTTGTTTTTTCGAATTATCTCCCTTCCATCACAATCCTGTTTTAGGGAGTGCTCTGCTACATACATCTAAATCATTGTTCATTGTACAGCATATAAACACTTACCTTAAAAAATTGGTGAACATGAGTTAGGTATGTTTGCATTTTAAATTACCTACTAGATGTATGAAATAAAATATGCATTTCTTACTAAACAATACTAAAACACTATCACACCAAGTGGACTATACGGCAGAACCAATTTTAAATGGCTGTCGTCACTGTTTACTTAATCCTTGTTTTGTTCAAACTAATTTGACATTTAATAAAATTCTTCAATATGATTTTTTATCTGATGTTCCTCAAATCCAAACAATTCCCCCAATAACCTAATCGTCCTTCACAATGAAAATGCTAAGTACAATTAGAAATGTATTCATATTCACCCCCATGATAAATTTGCCTTAATTATATAGAGGACAAAAAGAATGAAAATATACAACGCAAGTAAACACTTCCTGGGATGCTAAAGCATGCCAAAGTGAAAATAAATGTATAAGCATTGATTTGTCACGACCATAAAACAAATTGGATATAAATAGTGTTGTTTTTTTTCCATTAGACTCTATTCAATTTATAAACTTACATTAATCAAGGTTGTTCCAGATTGGAAATGTGTTGGGGTCTTAATATGGGTAAAAATTAGTTTACATGTTCAGATTTAACTAGTTTATTAAGACACTTACTATATTCCTGTTAGAACAATCCAGATTTTTTTAATTTTATTTTTAGATTTTTAGAAAATTAAGTATGTGTTATATTGAGGCTCCATGGTATTCCCTTTGTATTAGATATATTACCTCCTTCGGCAGGGTGATGGCTGTTGATGCTCCTTTCATCAGCAGGGTTTTGACGACCTCCACATCCGCTGACTTGATGGCGAAGAAGAGTACAGGCATTGGAACGCTTGAGGCGTTGGGGTCGGCCCCTCGCTTCAGCAGCAAGTCCATTGTGTTCTTCATCCTTTCCTTCCTAAAGTAGTAAATAATATAGATGGTTTAATATTTCAATATACTTCTCATAATTCAAACTCAATGAGTATTATATTCCTGACCTTACTTGAACATGCCTACATAATACTTACCTTTTTATAAGGAAAAAGATTTTAACAATATTTTTACATTCGTCAGCAAAATATCAAGGGGGAAGTTACTTGTTCTGGGTTTAACGTCTTATTAACAACTAAGGTCATTTAAGGAGGAAGAAACAAAAAAACAGAAAAAATGATTTTGACATTATTTGATATGCTGTTGGGTTTTTTTCAGGAATTGAAGGAGCTACAGGTAGAAATAAAGAATATTGAAAAATTGAGGAATAATCCTGATAATGTAAATTTATTGCTTTTATTTAGCAAGCGAGCTTCATTGAAAGCAATTATGAATTATAAAAATCAATATTTATATCAAACCATTACTCACTCATTCTTACAAACAGCTAGATGTCTGACAGTACCAAGCTCCATACTGCTGTGTGACCTCCGACCTCCCACTACTTTCTCATTGGTCGACAGCTGTGTGGCACACCTCTCAAGAAGCTGTTCTGACACCTGGATCTCGTAATCATGGAGCGTCACCGTAGACTCAAATTCTACTTCGTCAGGTCTCTCCTCTCTGGCGCTGCCCGGCTCTTCACTGTCTGCTTTCTCTTGGGAAGGGCGGGACACGGGTTTGGCCTGCTCACTAGGGTCCATGATTCTCACCTGCTCAAAATAATTGTAGTACATGTGTACATTGTATACGTAATTCAACGCGAATATTGTTAAAGTAAACAATTTTCAATCTCTCGTTTGAAAGGAATTACATAGCCCCTAGTGATCATTTGCATAAAAATCTAGTTTTCAGAAAAATATTCTGGTATCTTAATCTAATTTGGATATAATGAAATCTTACAGCTACAGTTCAAAACAAAAGTCAGCCTGAGAAATTAGTAAGAGCCCAGAGTACAGGGCTATAACAAATGTGATCAGGGCTGTCATAAAACTGCTTTTAATAGTGAAAAAATAATTTCAATTAAATTCAATAGGGCTAGGATAAAACAACTTCTAATTGAAAAAAAAAATCAATATTATATTTTAATATATATATAAAAAGAGAAATCATTATCCTTAATCTTGATATCTTTGAGCCTTCAGGTAGAAATATATATCATATGGAGAAATATCAAATTAAAAAATAAAACTCCAAACTGAAAATGAATGTTCAAAATTACAGATACAAATACTGTATAACATTTCAAATATTTGCTTTGGCATATCTCAAACTAACAAAAAGTACTGTTGAGACCAGATTCCTCACCTGAGGTTTGGAGGGACTCCCCATGCTCTGGTTGCTGTCAGTCTGCGGGAAGCCACTGTCCACACTTGTATGGCTTTGATTGGCTGCAGCTGGTTTTGGTTTGGCAATGATTCCTGGCTGGCTTGGCTTCGTAACAGCATTACTCTGTTTTTTATTTAAAATACTTTTAGGTTTGACAGGCACTTTCTTATCTTTATTCTCCTGTACTGGCGGAGGACGTTCTAGATATCGCTCTGCGATGTTGTAGTGGAATCCTTCCACCGGGTAAAAGAAAATAGTCCCTGCAGAAAGTGCCGAGCACCCTTCGTCGTTTAATTTGTTGACGTCAGCTCCATGGTTTAATAGACAGTTTATCACCTCCATATGCCAGTTTACCTGTCAACAAAATCAAATGTAATAATGTTTATGTTAGATATATTCTACTGTAATACTTGAATATCAACAGTTACATTATCTCAATAATAACAAATCAAATTGGATAACAAATCAAATAAATTTTAAAAATGTAGATGTAATAAAATACCTACCGTAGCACCAATTAAAGCAGTATGTCCATTCTTGTCGGCCACATCAGGATGAACAAGTCCAGCAGTAAAGAGGTCTTCCACAAGTTTGATGTCCCCACACGTGGCAGCCTGTATAAGTTCCTCTGAAGCACTCTCCAGGGGTCCTTTGGGCCCAAATTTGGACCGGTCACCTTTTAAAAGTTTCTGAACATCGTATGAAAGTTTTTTCTGTTCACTTTTATGCCTATGAACGTGCCTTTGCATTTTTATCACAGATGGCGTTTTGTTCCATGCTGGAACTTTTTCGTCCCGGTCCGATTTTTCACTGTCACTTCCGGGAAAGAACTCCTTATCGAACATGTCTCTGTTTACAGTTAAGCTACGAGGGTCCAGCGGTTCACTGTAAAGGTCGGTTACTCTATCTGATAAACGACTCTCCGGTAAATAGTCAAATATTTCTGGTGTTTGTAACATTTCTTCCACATTTGGTTTTTCGTCATCTTCCATAGAAATGTACATGACATGTTCCTTGGGATTAAAGTCGAATTCTTTGTGTTTTTCCATGGTAAAAGCGCCATCTATGGCTGAACATAACTTAACTAGTTTTTCTCTTATCCACAAACCTGCATCGTGTTTACCATCGGAATAGGACAGAACTCCCGGCCCCATTCTCTCATCATCTTTATATAAACCCTGCACAGGAAAGCAAATTCAATTTCAGATTATTAGTAGAAAGAAAGCAATTTTTATTCAAATTTCAATAATGATTTCCAAATGTTTCTCAAAAATTGATTTATAAAAATTATTAATTAAGCAACAATTTTCAGATAAACAAAACTGAAATGCATTTTTAAGGCTTTAACTATCAAAAGGACTGTCTTTGGTACTTATTATGCTGTGTTACCTCAAATGTATTTCCGTTTGCAAATCTGAAGATTCCGTGTCCCTCCTTACGATCCATGTAGAAGGTCCCTGTGTAGGTGGAGCCATCAGTCCAGGTATACTCCCCTTTACCATGGCGACGGTCTTTGAAGAAGGAACCATCATAGGACTAGAAAACAAAAGTCACAGGAAGATATGGATTAAATAAATTGAAAAGGCCAAGTTTCTTTCAATTTTAGGAACCAGGTAGATACTATTTATAACTTTTCAGTACTAACTATATGATCAGAACAAATTGAATGTCATTTTTGCCAAAACCAGTTTTGCAAATTTACAAAATGAATACATCAGAAAAAGGTCATTTAAAAAGGCCAAAATCAAACCAAACCTGTCATATTTATAGTCTGCTGCCTGTTTATTAGAAAACCATGCATTTTTTTCCCATTCTTATACTGCTCTAGTCTTCATAAATATATTAAAAAGTACAATATACTCTCCAACTGTTTGACAATATGCAGACCTAGAGGTATAAGGGGCATTATCTAGGATACCGCTGATAACTGGTCTGGTAACAGAAGGAAAAAAATATTCGAAAATAATTGTTTATTCATTCCTCAGAATTTCCAACTTGTGTAGTTTGAAATTATGTTATAATTTTGAATAAATGATGAAATATAAAAGGTTGTACAATGTTCTTGATTTTTCTTTTTTCTATAATTATACAATATATATCAAATGTTTATTTTTTTGGCCAATTAGCTCCTTTTCCTAAAAGTGATTTGAAAATGAAGATATTTTCGTAAAATAAATGTTAGTATTTATAAATATACATATGTAGGTGCTATGTTTATGGGCTGTGATGTGTTGAAATTGACTACATTAATTATCTATCTGGTAATGTACATCAGGCATGCATTATATACACAATTTACATAAGTGCCGAATTCAAGCTAATAAATGGCCCATGAACTATGTGCAACCCTATACACTTTTCTGGTCTGAGATTCCCACTATTAAGTCACCATACCCCGGTAATATACCAAATGACTTGAAGAAAAGTGTCTACTATAGTCTAGCTAATACTTTTTTGAAAAGACATTTGCTAATTAAAAGTCCTGCAAACATTTTGGTTTGCTCCAAAATGATATGCACCTAATTGGGTGCTTATATAAGGTCAAAAAGGCACATTTAATTTCATATCATATATGGATAGATAGTTTATACATGCATGTTTAAATTTGTTTCATACAGGGAGAAACTGATATGTACCATATATATATACACTTAAGTAAACAAGCCTAGGGGTGTGATTCAATAGGAAATCGATCTGTGCTCAAGTTCGAGGCGTTGGATTGCTATAACAGTGCATTATTATTGTAATTTTATATTTGGATAAAGACCAAATATTTCTTATGAATATTTCATGTATTTAATTCAATTACCGTATGGATCATATTACACAGGCAATTTATATATGGTAACATATACTGGTTTTGTGAACGCTTTTCTTCTAAAATACATTTACATGTATGTATTCAATATATATACACCTGCATGGTTATAATACATGTAGATGTATATGCTCCACAATTAACCCTAACTGTATTTTAAACATTTACACCCATTAAACCACTTTTAATATACTAACTCATTATATATCATTAAATTAGCTGATAATTAAAAAGTTAATAAAATTCTAATTTTGGTTTCAAAAGATTTTTCATTAATTTTAAAAGGTAAAATGTTTAATGTTTTTATTATTCAACCAGAACTTTGGTTCAGAGGATTAAAATAAAGGGTTTTAAAAAATTTGATAGAAGTTTGAAGGATTTTCTTTTTCAAATCATGAATTTACCTTTTATATGTGTATATATATATAGTCACAGACCCTGGGGCGACTCGTGAGAACTTGAGTAAAACATTTGATGATAACTTTGTTCTGAAATGTCTTTACACTTGATTTCTCAGTACACATACTACATGTACTAGTACACAAATTTACACCATTTTATCAAGAAAATCTTAATGACATTTGTTAAAACATTTAATTCCTTTAATTAGCTCGATAGCATTCCTAAAAATCAAAACAAATCGCATTTGTACCGAGTAAACACCACAGGAAGATAAACGTGTTTGAAAAGATTTATCTTTGTCTATTAATTAGTGTATCAACACATACGATGTACAAATACTGATAAAAAAAAACTGTCAATAGATCACACGGTCATTACTTGTTCAAAGATAACAAAACAGTTTTTTTCCCAGCAATATAAAGGAATATGTTTTGATGATAATTATTATATTTCTGTTCACAGGAACACATGCAAACTTAATCAGGCTGCTCAGATTTCCATCACAAAAATAATTAACTCATAATTCTTTATACACTGGGCATTCTAACCACACTTAAGATACATGTACATGTAGCTAGCTTGCATATATACAAACGTACATGTAGAATGTATACATATCTACGTATTTATATTTAGTTTTAAAGGTCCACGTTAAGATCTATTGTTAAGCAGTGAAATAGATGAATTATTTGATGAGTGACAATTGGATTCAAATTTAACACACTGAGGTCAGTTAAATGTTACGGTATAATATAATCTCAATGTTAAAGTTCAAGTTCTTTATTACGTCGAGTAAGGGTTTATCGGGACTGTCTGTGGGCTCTCGACAAAAGACCTAGTGTGAGAAGTCAGGGAGAGGACATGGAAAGCTTAAGTCATTGTTCGGTGTAACATCTTTGTAAACAAAATATCTTGAAATAAAGTTATTTCACAGCACCTTGTCTATTTATTGTAATTTTTTTTAAATATCAAAGAAGTCAAAATGATTATCATATCGACAGCACTTGCCTTTTCAAAAGAGGAATCCCTAAGTAAAAACTTATATTTTTCACGCATAATATTATGTAAGCATTCAGCAAAACAACAAAATGAAAAAATTGAAGTCCCTTGCAATTTTTTGTCCTTTTTTATACAAACTGGTTAAATGCAACCTGTCAGTCAGTTATGAATTCAGCTAATGAGAATAAGATAAAGAAACATTCAAATCTCATGAACAATGGGGAAAATATTCAAAATATGAGGTCAGAGGTACACTGTTTGACTAAAAATGTGTCTAAATAAAGGCTCCTTGCAATTGGCACTAGGAATCCATTTGTGCCTGGCACCTTTATGAGGTCAATGTTACTTTGATGTCCATAAAAAAATAATCACAGTGCAGCTTAAGGGTAAAATTGACAAGCTTTGAATTGGGGTGTCACTCTTTTGTAATTTTCAAAGCGCAGATATCAGCCTAGCAAATGGTCATTCATTTATGCATAAACCCATCAATCGCTAACTTTGTGCCATCAATTTTGTCATATATATGTATAATCAAATGGAAACTGATTCGAGAACCATAATACGTTACACCATAATCAAAATACAATGTACATACATTATTTGTATTTGTAAACATTCAACTTAGGTCATATGATACCATTATCAAATATTATTCATCAACAGTCAAGTAATACTTATCTGTAATTTATTTTTAATAGACCATTGTGTGATGTTCTTAAGTGGTTTTATCAGCATAGAAAAAATAAGTAAACATGCACAGTTGACTTCCCTATCATAAAAGCCGTCTTAAATATGTTTACAACAAGTTTCTATCCCAATTCACCTGAGAGGAAAACACATTATCAACGAACACTGTTACCTAACACAAAGCCCTTTGTTACAAAGAACCAATGAACCAATCAATTTCTTTCCGGTAGGTGGTCATATCACTTTTCTACCTCATACAGTGCAGGTCCTGAAAAATTATTTTCCTGTTAAATATATATTACTTCTGCATTATACAAGACACAAATAGGGTGCACACCCTCTCCGGGAGCAAGAGCACTTTAAAATATTCACTGTAGTGTCACAGAAAAGTATAAAAAACCACCATGACCTGTAGCACAGTGATTCAAAGACCGCAGCTTTATAATCAACAGGTTCCGGGATAATGATTGCCGTGGGAAGAGATACATTTTTTTAAGAAAAAGGAAATTGTAAAGTCATATGTTCCTTAAAAAACATATTTGCTATAGTAAAGGGGCAAGCATGCAAGTCCAAGTCAGAAGAAAATGCCAAATTATCGGAACTCTTCTTCATTGGAAATACATGCAGAGCTCTGGTACTCTAGATCTACCTTAAGGCTATACAAATATGTTTCCATGCAGTCTCCTAAAAAGTATTACCTATACATTTCTTCTTTATGCTCGGTATACTACTCTCATAGTCTTAAAATGCAATACGGAAACACATACATTTGTGGGCCTAGCTTTAGTTTATACAGAAAATTTATGTTGGGCACTGCACACCGGACATAAAAATTGTTATTATCTCCCTCAGTACAGGCTAAGTTAATGTCATGTTGGTTTTGTGATAAAAGTAAATTATTTATGATCCACCAGGTATGTATACGTTGTCTCCCTGTCTTTATCGCTAGTTGAATGCGATACAAATGAGCGTTTTGTTATACAGATACGTTATTGCTGTACATCTATCACTGTTTTGTTAACATACAGGAAACTTTCCTTGGTGTATTGGGAATCGCCATTACAAGAGAATCAGAAACAATTTGCTACATTTTGGTAAACAGAAGCAAGTCTCAAATAGGGGTGTCTCTAATATGAATCCAGAGATTGTATATTTAAAAAACAAGTATCTGCTATTTATCTCAACTGCTTGCTTATATAAATGCTTTTGGATTAATTGAAAATATTTTTTTTATGTTAATTGAGAAAAGGCTAATTTTCGTATGGGCAGGAAAGCCTCGAAATATATATGTTTTATGAGGAGACAAGTTAGCATGCCTAATTATATCCTTCAGCTCTAATAGTAAAAAAACTTGTCAACATTTGCATGAAAGAAATTCTGACATTAATTATAAAATTCTTGATTGTCCTGTAGTTAATTATATAATATGCAGTGAAATTTGGAAAATTACTCTACAGAAAATTACAAATTGGTATTCAAGTTTATCAAGAGATCAACAATGATTTAGTCCCAACTCACTAAGTAATTTCCCATTGGTTCTTTTTTTTCAGAAATGCTGAAAAAGGACATTAAGAAAATAATTGTTTAAGTTGTGAAATCAAAAACACAAAAGGGATTTCGATTTCTAGATAATTGTAGTACCAGTTTTTCCCCTAAGTTTTTATAGTAACAGTTCAAATCACAATTCAGAAGGTAAATTTCGAACAATACATGTATTACAAACAAAATTAATGTATTGGGAAAGTAACCTATATGAGTAGGGCAAAACTTAGTTTGAGGTGGTTACTATGATGCTGGGAAATACTGAGAACATCTAAAATGTTCCAAATTAATACTATTTGATAATATATATGTCTGAAATCACTCAAAACCACTACATTGTAAATGTTAACTTGATCAATTCATATCAATTTGAGTTCATGCACTGTCGATTCAGTGCTTCACGTTAACAATTTAAAGACGAAAACCACCTATGACGATACTCATCAATTTGGTGCGGTAAATTCAGTTGATTTTACTATTTCCATTCTCACGCAACGTAATGCAAATGTGATAACTGGATCTCTCTGATATATGAATAATTCATTCTCAATGAATAAATATTGATTGGGGTGATATCCAGCTTCGTATTACATCCAACAGGTCTACCGTCTAGGGTACGTACAACAAAGAACTTGTCGAAGGGTAAAGATATCTATCAGGTATAAAAATATATGCTGTGATAAAATACACTTGGTTTTTACCAATAATTGTTTTTTGAAATCAACAGGCTTAAGACATGCTAGAATATTGACAATTATTTATATAGCTGTCACTTCCTCATATGTAATGCCTTTAATATTTCGTTTTTTTGGCAGTACACTACATCTGTATATATATATATGTTAAACTTAATTGAGTGGTCCTATAATTATAAGGGCAAGAGTGGTCAGATGGGGCTGCAGTTTAAAGTGCAATCCACTTTTCATGGAATCATCTGTTTGACCACATGAGTTTCCTCTGTGTACTCATACTCCAGTTTACTTTCATATTCAGACCCCCTGAGTACTCTAAAATAGACCACCAAGAGGGATTAACTTGTCTTAATTTTTTATTTATGTTGTCATAAATATCAAAAGACAGATTGTAGAGTTCCAAACCATGATGTAAGCAAGTAAAGCTATTGTGATGTAGGAAGTAAGGCTATTACTGTTGTGTCCCTGAACAAGATACTTCAACTTAATTGCTCCAGTCTACCTAGCTATACAAATGGTTAGCAGCATGGTGGGAAGTACTTGCAAATCAATATAAGGAAAACAATACAACTCTCAGTTGATCAACATGGTAATTAAATTACATGTATAAGTTCACTGGCTTTTAAAAGATTTAATGAACTAATTTCATATTTATATGTCAGTGATACATTTTTGTAGAAACAGAATAAAGCCAGAGCCTTTTTTTTTACTTCAGCAATACTTTCCAAACAGGGCGTTTTGCAGACCCTTTAGAGCAAAAGTGTTTGACTCCCCAAAATGAGCTTTGACTCTTTGGTTTAAAGGATAATTGTCTATTAACTTGTGTTTTGACCAGTCACCTGACAGATTTCTAACAGGGAAAATATTATTTGACTTCTGAAACTGCTAAAAGTCAAGGTTCAACTGAAAGCCCTGCCAAAGGAATGTTTGCGAAATGCTCAGCTAGGCTTAAGGAGATTGCTAACACCCACCTCTCCATTGCTCCAAGTCAGTTTTCCACGACCATGTCTCATGTCCTCAACGAAATCTCCTTCATACCGACTCCCATCTTGCCAAATTTGAATACCTGAAAATGAAAAGAAATTCTAGATTTCTTGTTATTTTATAAAAAAAAGTTTATTTTTTGGGTTAGTAAGTAAACTAATGCTTTATATTTCCTACAACAGGTCTAGGATATGTACAACAAAGAACTTGTCGAAGTGTAAAGCATATCAATAAAATATGTATTTCTTTCTTTCTTCAACTTGAATATAAAATTATGTATTAGTCAGTTCAGTGTATTGCCATGTAAATCAATTAACAAATCCATTTTATTTTCTTGTCCAAGTATGCCATGCTGTCATAAAAATTTAACTACATCTGTAACACATGAAAAATTATACATTAATTATTGCTTTTTTTTTTTTGAAAATTTTGAAAGGTTCTTGTAATCATTCAAATTTTCCAATATTATTAAACACTCATGGTACTTAATACGGTAGACTATGGTAAGTTAATTAATTAACTTCCTGCAGCTCACCAGATCCATGTCGCAGATTGTCCATATAACCTCCCTCGTACTGAGCTCCGTTTGGCCAGGAAAATATTCCCTCCCCACATTTCTTGTGATCGTGTATTCCACCTTTGAAAGAAGCACCACTTTTGTAATCAACTTTTGTTTCTAAGCTTTTAAACTTTGCCTGGCGGAGTTTTGGGAGGGTTGAGCTTGAACACACAGACACCGACATCGTTGTAACTGTTTATATTTTACTCTTCCTTAGACAGCATCACATCAAGGTATAGGCTCTGAAATGAAAAAAAAAAGAAAGAATAGTTAAATGACACAAACATTGTAGCTATACAGAGATTGAACAGAACTATTTAGACAAGTATTATTTTCATCATATATATTTTGTGTATTTTTCATATTTTCAATGAATTCTGCTTTATTTTTTCAAATAATTAAAAAAAAAGATTCACACTCTCTGGAAAATAAAGATATCACATACATGGTTGTTTTAGACTTGTCATGATGAAGCACTCAGAAGCTAGATTGGAATGGGCGGGACCAATTAATTGCTAGCCTTCAGAGTTATTTACATGTAGTTTAAAAGATCTGATATAATATATTTGCAACTTAAATTTATCTCATTAACCCCCCCCCCTTTATAGTCTAAACTGTCTTGAAATTGTCAAATACCAATACATAACTTCTGTAACAGGAAGGAGAAAAGTGTGCTTCCACCGGCGATCGCACCCTCAATATCCAGGTTCCTAGTCGGATGCTCTACCACAGAGCTAAAGAGAAATTCCCTCTAGCTCGAAGCTATAAGGCGACCTCAATCCTTTGTACAATTGAACCCAGCCACACTACTCCCCCCTTTTTTCAAATGTGTTCGCCCTCGAACACCACAACCCAGGTTCTAACTCCCTGTCACTATAGATAGGGCCACAGACCATTTGTAACAGGAAAGAGAATAGTGTGCTTCCACCGGTGATCGAACCCTCGATCTACAGGTTCCTAGTCGGACGCTCTACCACTGAGCTAAAGGGAAATTCCCTCTAGCTCCAAGCTATAAGGCGACCTTAATACTATGTACAATTTAACCCCGCCACACTACTATATGCATATATTAATTTGAACTAACGACCTGGAAGTACCAATGACTGCAGATTTTACAACCTAAACTTGGCGTTATTATATAAAATTGAACAGGTAATTGGTACAACGGCGCATATTGGTAGTAATCCTGCATTCGGGTAACAGTTAGACATCAGAATTGATAAATTTGTGTGCACAAATGTACTTCATGTTGTTATTTATTTGATTTTGTTGACAGAATGACGCCCTTTTTTGCTCCAAGAGTTTAATAAAAGAACTTTGTGTTTTTTATTTCACTTTATTCACCATTTCAGTAATAAAATTGTTACTCAAATGGATAACTGTTACCCAAATGCAGGATTATTACCCATATGCGCCGTTGTGCCCAACCTGTTGAAATGGTTTAAAAATGAAAGTGTTGCAGAATAATTTAACACAATATCAATATATATCTATCATAAAATAATTCTATGTTTTATATTTTTTAAACAGCCTACATATCAATATTATAGCAGAACGGTGCATCGATTATATAGACTGAATCGATTTCCGTATCATGAACGGAAATGGATAAAACGACTTATAAATACATAATAGGCATTGAACCTCTGCATGCAAACTTACACTTCACCTGTGAAGAGAAAGTTTGATATTGCGATAAGAAATATGAGCATTTTCGATTAGTTTCCGTAACATATACTTATAGAAATTTTGTTGTCACTGTGTGGAACATGTCATATGCAATCTTGACGGTTGACATTACCTTTAACTTCACAAACTGTGAGAACCGTGTAAACAATCCGCCATTACTCGCACTGCCTTCCGCTTAAACGGTGGCGTTTGTTGCTACGCGACTTAACAGGGGAAGTAACTCCCACAAAATAGAACAGGTGCTCGTCAGTATAGTCCGAATACCTAGTTGACAACCGATACAAAAATGTTGGTTCTTCATTCAAGTGACAAACCAAACTGGAAGGTAATTATAGAATTAATTAAATAAAATCATTGATACTTTTAAAACAAGTTATGTTAAAGAAGCAGCCACCTATTTTCGCAATTTCGTGCAAATGTATGCATTTTTATCGTATGGATGTATACATGCAGTGTATCGTGCAAATGCAGATGTCCAGTCTTGTTAATGTATAGTATGTTTCGAAATCAAGTTTTCTTCGCTACAGAAGATAAAGTCCAATATATGCAGATTATCATTATCCCCTTCTTTCGTTTGTTCAGTTACGTTTTTATAGACCATTATCGAAAATGCATTCAATGAAACTGTGGTCTTGTAAAGGGTTTTCATTTGACTAACTTTTTCTCCCAGTGGCGTAGCATACATTTTTAATCATATTTTTTATGATTAATATTGACCCTCCGTATTAATCATAAAAAGGATAAAATAGTGTTGTTGTGTCTACACATATTGAAAAATCTCGAAGGTTTATGTAAAATTCCAAATCAGAAATTACTTCGTGAAAGTACGAAATTTAATAGTATTCATACAAAAAGTGGGGTGTTTTTTGTTAATAATCAGACTAAAAGGATTTCCCAGAATACGAGAGATTGCTTCTATAGGGCCTAGTAGAATTTTCTTTTTTTTCCAATGATTTGCTACGGCAATGTGACTCCAGTTGATATTTGAGAGATTCAAGTCCCCGGGATCAGCATACATCAGCAGAGAGGGAAACTGTTTTACTTTTCCAAGCACGTTTGTCATTGTTCTCTGTCCTAACAGATCAGTAAATAATTCCCATCAGTAGTCTGTCCTGTTTATCAAGTGGTATTTCGATAATGTTTTTTTTTAAAAAAAATACGTGAATTTTCATGTCACATCTTTTGCTGGCAGTAACTAACGAGACTTTAAAAGCAATGCATTGTTTTCATCTTCTTCTTTTTTCAAATATATTTTATTCACTTACTTCGTCTGTAGAAAATTCTTATAAATGTAAGCACGTCGAGATTTCTTGCCTTTCACGGCTTTTTCTTAGATAAACCCTATGATATGTGTATCATAATTAGTTCTTGTATAAGTTTGGTCTTTTATGTCGTAATTAGTCTGTGATTGTGTATATTCGATAAAACTGAGGTACATTAAAATTTGCCGATGGGTGCCCCATGACTTTGAATTTGAATTTTTAAATAGAATAGTACTGATCTTAACATAATGAAATGTTTTTGAAAATTGTTTAAATAAAGATATACATTTATCTTAGCAAATACCAATTACCAAAAGTATCATTGTTGGATTTGCAGAAATAATGGGTTTTTTTATCTTTCATTATACACGGTCTCCATTGCATTTTGGTGGCTATAGTTCACTATTTGCGCTCTGTCTTTTGCACCTTGTCATATACTTCATAAATTACCATACCCAGTACGTCAAAGATGTCCGATGTCGTAATGACGTTAGATCTCTTTCATTTGTTCCAACAGCTTTGTAACTATGGTCCGGAAGTTCGATTTCTTTTGTATTCTTTTCTATGACCCTTTCCAGATTATGTATTCTGGTTTCGAATGCCTCCATTACGGCGTCTCACCTTTCTCGATATCTTTCCAGTGTTACATGACGTTTCTATACAATCCTCCTGTATTATACTCACAACCGTATTGCTTCCAACCTCGGTTTAAATCGTATTCTGCTTTGGCCTTGACGGGACATGCGATGCAACTGATGGTATATGTAGCTATGCCATTCAATAATCTTACTGTTACTACCTAATAGGGTTTGGTGTATATTATCCATGCCCTTGCTGAGATGTCTCCTCATTTCTGTCGATTGCGCCGTTTACCACTGGTGCATTCGAGTATTTTTTCTTAACATTTAATTCCCAAGAGAAACTCATATTTTTTTATTGAATGAAGAAGATTTACGATGTTCATTAGCAGCTGTTCTTTATAAAATGTTTTATAGACTGTTTTAATAACTATTGATTATAATTATATGACAATTGTAATGAATATATCACAGATGTTACTAGCTTTTAATGGTAAAAATGAAATGCATATATGTAGATTGTATAGTGTCTCGTATGTCAGAATTGACCGGATATTTTAATATTACCTTGTGTAAATGCCGTGTTTATGTATGTACAATGTATGTTAAAACATGTTATACTTTAATAATAAACTATTTTACTACTACTTTTACTACTAGTAATCATATGGAACATGTCATTTAGGTGTTTAATGTACTGTCCCAATATGTACTGTAAACAATTTTTATAATCTTTTTTTGCTGGGATTTGAACTCGCTAAATGATCTTACGAAATACATGTGACGATATTTTTTGAAAAAGGAATTAATTCAATATTTATAAATGTTCAATGACATAACACTTAAATCAGTCAAAGATTTTGCAGTGTTTATTTAATTGACAGCAAGTTTAATGGGTCAATTGACACCTCTTTTTACAAGTACACCTATATAATTTAACAAATTAAGTAACAAATAGCAAATCACAATTCATTTAATAAAATGTTCTTTATAAATGTTGTTGTTGTTTTTTGTTTTTTTTTAACTGGATGAATATATTTTATATCAAATTGTGTATCTTATATTTTTTTGTTTTACTTTATTTGTTGCAGATGATTATACTTTCAATACTTTCAATACTTTCAATGAGAGAAGTTATCACTGATATCACGTGTTCCGCAGGAAACGCTTTTATTTCCGGATCACCTGGGTTATTCGTCTTTGTTTTAATAAGGTGAGGGATCATGATGCATTTCCTTTGATTTCGGTTTATCTATCCGGTTCCTGTTGCTTTGGGTTGGGATTTTTACCTGTGGGCTTTATATTGTATTTCGTTGTTTGTTCTTTTGGGATATCTATCCAGTTCATGTTGCTTTGGGTTGGAATTTTGACCTGAGTGTTTGACGTTGTATTTTGTTGTTGTTGTTGTTGTTGTTATTTTACTTCACATATACCGTTAAGTATCAACGTCTTTGACATGATTATCAGTTATCCACTAGTTCAATCAACTATTCAGCTTCCCAAACTAAATAAACATGACAAGCAATACAAAACAAACTTTCAGAAAGCGACTTATTTTGTAAATACATATATAGGTTTCGATAGGTAGTGATGCTTTGATAATAACTGTTACAAAAGTAATACTATTATTAATAATAAAAATACCAAGAAAACAAAAATAAAACAAAACACGCATAAATCCCAGAAACTTAAAATAACTTAATCGTTTATACGCCATATTAATTCTGTTATTATGAAATTGGGATGAAAGGTATCCCACATTGCATTGAACAATTTCTCACTCAATTAATGAATACATTCTCACGTAATTAATATTGTCACACTCGCTTAAAGGGCAACGCAGTCGTCACTGTTGTTCAACAGTATTAAGTTGTGTTGAGGACATAATTCATAAAATCCTTTTCCACGAATTCTTCAATAACAAAATGCACGTATTTGTCGTGAACACTTGTTTTTAATATTCTTAGCATAACTGTATAGGAATTAACATTTTAACAGAAACAACACTTTTCAATGCCAGTTTACAGTTGTAAATATGATGGGACCCTCTACCTTAATGTGGTACATCTTAGCGAGTGTACATGTTATGCAAATTTTCTCGAAATAAACCTCTTCAAAAAAGTTTATTGACATGAATCATAGTAAAACAGGAATTATTTGTTAATAACACAATCCTAGAGATAAGCATCACATTTACATTTCTCAATACTGATATACACAAGGTAAAATTATTCTCTCTATCTGCAATTCTTTCACGTTTCTTATTCCAACAAACCTCACATACAATGTGTCTCCACTACATCACCTTTACATCACGTTTACATCACCTTCACGTTTCTTATTCCAACAAACCTCACATACAATGTGTTTACACTGCATCACCTTTACATCACCTTTACATCACCTTCACGTTTCTTATTCCAACAAACCTCACATACAATGTGATTACACTACATCACCTTTACATCACCTTCACGTTTCTCATGCTGACAAATGTCAGATAAATTATTTTCGCCATTAACATTTCCTTCACATTTGTAATTCTAACGAACATCAAATGATACTTTTCTTGAGATATTTGTCTTCTTTACGTTTCTCTAACTGAAAAATAAGAGGTAACCTTTTCTTCGCGATTATAATTTTCTTCCCTTATTTTAATCTGATAAATATCACATAACATGAAATATATGTCTTATATACGTTTCCCATACTGACATATCATCAAGTAAACGTTTTCGAACTATACAGAACATATGTAATTGTTATTAAATTACTAACTAGATTCCTGAGAACTAGGTTAAATAATTAATTGTATTATTGCACATGACTATCTACTAGTGACTGATCTACATCATATCAATGTTGTCTCAAAATTAAGCTTGGTATCATGAAGTCATATACTGATATTCCGTCTTTGCGTATTGCAGAGTTATCTTCTCGTGTGAGCAGGTATTGGTTGTTACGTCATATGGTTTGTGTGAGAAAATTACGTCGTTTTCTCAAAATTTGATGACGTTACTCTCACAAACAAATGACGTAACAATTAATACCTGTTAAAAAGAGCAGATAACTCTGCAACACGAAAAGACGGAATATCAGGTATACTATAGACGTACTTATTTCAGCGTAGGCATAATTTTGCGCACTGAAGATTTATAACAGATATTAGTGAACTGTTGGTTTAGCATGCTCACAAAGCAAAAATTAGATACCGAAATTGCAATTAGCGCAATCGTTATTATAATAATAAGTGCAGAACAGAATAACCGCTAAATATGTACGTGAGCAGTGTTACCCTACCTTGAATTAGTAAAATGACTGTGTATCGGGTATATAACTATACCTACGTCCTATTCAATGTTAATGTTCAGAAACTGGAGTTACGTCCCTTGAAACACAGAACGACCTAGCCAATGTATCGATTCATGTGTACCCAAGAGGACATGTAAGCGTTTCTGCAGCGAAAACTAGCCTTGAACACAACCTGCACATTTAAATGCAAATGCATGTCACTGCTTTTTAAAGAAGGGTTCCTGGTTATAAGACTCATAAAGTGTTGATGTTGAAAATCAGTGTCTGTCCTAATCCAAAGCTTAACGATGAAGCAGTGCCAAAGAAACAATATCTATAGCACTACAAAACTTTTTATGCAATGCTACTGACCTCTTCCATCAAGTTATTGTTTATTCCAGGTGGTCATTAGGCAGGATCGCATGTTACGTTGAGCATCTGTTTTCAATCATTGACGAGTGAACAAACATGTATACATAGCAACTAACGATAGCTTACGCGAAATGCAGTGATTACACTTCACATTTCATGGAATGTCTTTCTTACATTAATAAGATTAAGATAACACTAGTCTAGTCTTCAATCGATGTATGGAATAACAAGATTAAAAAATATGAACATAAAACGTATTATCGAGATTACAGCAGTTACACTATCTTGAACTCGTATAAACTCTTGAACGACCCAGCAGTACCGGATATACTGCCGTATACAATAAATTTCTCTCCTGGAGAACATGACGTCACTACCGCTTCCCATTCATTGTTGCTAACGTTCTGAAACTTTCTTCCAAGAATAGTAGCGGCTTTCACTTTATCTGACATGAACCGCACATTTATTTCTGTTCTGCCTGTCACAAGAAGATCCAAAGGCTCGAGCAGACGACATTGGTATTCCCGGGCAAATTTGTAAACTTTGGGTAGAGGTGAGCTGAGTTCTATAGTTTTACGACATTCTATGATATAGTTAATGGCTTGTTTATAATCGTCTTTGTCCGACTTACTCATTATCTTGAGTTTGTAGAACCCATTCCTGGGAAAATGTGCTGTTATGTGAACTTCGTTAGCCGTACTCTCCAGCATTGCGTAGTCATCAATGTCTGCAATATTTCCCAAACCGTAACTAAGTCGTGTGACCGCTTCTATACATTTACTCGTTTCCAAGCTGAAGGTCACGCGACCATTGTCTGTGACAATAGAAGGATTTATAGACTCCGGGGAAACAAAACCGAATGATTGCACTGCTGTCACAGGACCCCAAGGTCCAAAATGATCCGGATACGGCTGGCAGTCTGGTATAGCTTCATGACACCGAAGGTAGTATTCCACAAGTCCTAGAGTCTCCGTGGCGTCAGGATCGACATTACCAAGAATTTTCAGAATGTATTTACCTTTTGTTGGCGGACGAACCGTCACTTGAAACTTTCCATCCGATAGCTTTAAGATCATAATATGATGTCGAATCTCTTTTTCATTCTGAATCAGTTGAGCACTCACAACTCCTAAGGAAACCTTATCGCCACTCTGAATTGTGACGTTGACCTTCTTCCAGACGTCTAACACACTTATTTTATGTGACACAAATTGCACTCCCCAACCGATGGCCCTATACACTGGTTTCAGAACTTTGTTGAATTTTGCTAAATCCAATGGCTCCTCAAGGAGTTGCCAGGGTTTACTCTCCGCCAGATCTGTACCCATACACGGAAAGTGTGCGAAAATGACTTCCTCTGGGTCTGGCATGAAATAAAACTCTTTAAACGAGTAAATGAACTTTTTGTTCGAGTCTAGATGTCCGGCGCCCCACGAACATTCTATAAATCTCCAGTCATCCTGCACATAGACGGCATTCCAGCAGTGATTGGTGGAGTCAAGCTCGTGGAAGTTTTCGAAAGGGTTGTAATCAAAGCCCTTTGCAAAACCTTGAATACACTTCGCTGGGATCCTGGCAACTCTACATGGAAAGAATACAAACATGAAGCATGCAGGATCGAGTCAAGTGTTTTATCTACTTTGTTCATTTCTGATAAATATGACATAATACGATAACAGGTAAATTGGTTAAATGCTGATCAATTTTATTTACATAAAATAAAGAATCGTGCAAAAATAAGCCCAGTTTTTAACCTATAAATCATTTTGTTATATCAAAGTTTTACTTCATACACTATGAACGTATTAAATGTACATTGTTTTTATAAAGTAAAACTTTGACGATTTTGCTATTTCCTTCTAAAATCGGCTTTCTTGAAAAAAAACACCAAACAGAAATTTGGTAGCTGTTAGACATTTTCTAACTAACTAATTTTGCCGTTTTGTTTGCTGCACTTTCCCACTTAATAAGCAAAAATGTACTCCTTGCTTTCAGAATCATTAACTTGTAAAACTTTGTAATTTTGTTTGATATTTCCTCAGTTCCAGTTGTCTTTCATTTGGCTTTGATATCTTCTCAGTTCCTGTTTTGTCTTTTTTCGACATTAATGTTCAATTTTGTCTTAGTTTGTAAATATTTAAAGTATAAATAGTTCTCGTTATGGTACATTGATACATTAGGTGAACAGACCTACACATCCCGGCGAACAGGTTAGAGTAGCCCGAACTAACTGCCCTCTTCAGCCTCAGAACAGACTCAGCGTCCACCGGCTTCCGCTTCCCGAGGAAATGGGAGTCAGTGTCGTACCTGATAAGGGAGGAAAACAGTATTACGGTAGAGTCTCGCCCGGTATTTCTTCTGTATACAGGCCTTAAGAGGATATGTTCCTGTTTAATTTATGTTGCTTCCTCCATATTATGAAAATACAATTGAATGTTTGGGGTATCTTTAAGGTGTAAGAACATTTTGATGTTATCTCAAGCAATGTTGCAAAAGTGTATTAAAGTTATGACCTAAGTGCATTACGAGAGTTTTATGCTTTCAAATAAAAGATCGAATTCCCGCACGTTTATGTTTTTTGGTTTTTACAAAATTGCGAAAAAGTAAATTTGCGCGAAGTAGCAATAACTACTATATGCTCTTTGTTTAATTGTGCAAACACCGTATTATGTAGATAAATATTATAAAACCAATAATACGGGTTTGTAGCAGTATACACAGTTTTGTTTAATCATTAACAATTTTAATTAACAGTAATGCATTGCATTTAACTATCAAGTTGAAATTGGTTATTTCAAGATTGATGACAAATTCTCTTCTGTTCAATTTTTTAACTGATATTTTCCTTTTGATTGCATAATTGTACGTGTGATGTATTTACATAAAAAAAAAGTCTTTTTCTAATTGTGAGTAAAATGTTTCAGGTTTATTCTTTGAGGAAACTCCTGAGTAAAATACTGAATTAGATATTTGATTAGACATTGACAAAGAAAGTGATTAAAAAGAAAACAAATAATGATATTATGTAACTATTTTTGTTTGATCCATTCACTTATTACAGCTTTGATGAATTTCATAGAAAACATTATCTATCTAAAATGACTGTTGCAAAATAAAAACAATGTGTTTATGTTGTTAGCCGTTAAGTGTTAGTGTATATCATAGTGTATATGAACAGTGCAAAGGTTTGTTATGTTTTAGCACCACAAATCACTGCCTAACACTCATCTTACGACAAAACAAACTCAAATATTTCACTCAAGCCACCATTAAACTAATCACTGCAAACCATACAAATTGATATTGTCTTAAACTAAAATTGTTTCGCATGACAGATGTTTTGAGCGATAAATATCTTGTTTTCTGTTTCAATTGCATACAAATTATTATAGCACATCCAATGAAATGCTTATGTGTGACGTTTTGATGACTAGTGTGGTGTGAACTTTGTCACCTATATCAGACAAAAGACACCTTTTCATTGTAAGTGCAATATGATCATGCATACAAGCTATATTTACCATCCTGAAGAAAATGTTAAGATCATTTTCTGCTTCAAATTAAATAACCATTCATCTATCACTACTCACTGTAAACATTAATCATGTCTTCAAATATATAATATGTAACATAACATATATATTTATTGATAAAAAGAGTGGAAGACAATGTATTGTGTCATACAGATATATATATATTCCGTCTTACGCAATGTTGTTTGTGATCCATCTGTAAAATCCTCGAACCTTCTCCAGGTCAGATCGAGCCGGTACCATTAGGTATCTTGCTAGGATCTCGACTGACCCTTCCATTGACCTCGGAGCCTTCAAATGTCGGGCGAATAAAAAGTAAATGACAAATTGATGACAGGATTCTATTCCCATATAAAGAGTGCAAGTCTGGATATTTCGGTGCACATTTATTACTAATAGATTGACAGAGCAGAGTTAATTCATTCATCTACTTAATTGATTACGTGATTAATATAGTGACTTAATTTATTCAGAATAGTTAATTCGGTATATCCGCATACCTTAAATGCGTGTAATACCATCACGGCAATGCTACATGAGTCAGCCTTATTTGATACATGTCGTAGGTACGGTTAATCTCTCTTCCTGCATGTTTCGCAATATAATGACTTTTTTTTAATGTGTTGTCAGCTTATGTTTTAACGTACCGTAATGATACAATACATACTTTCCTAATGTACTATATAGTATGGTCCATCCCTTATTTCCAAGGTAAACCTTGGGCTTGAGAAACGCTACTACTTTTGCCTGCCAAAGTGGCTTTTCGCTTTGACCTTTGATAGTTATATTGTTTCCATGCAAATCCTCTTTCTAATAGGGAACACAGGTTTATCTATCAAACATGAATTCATCAGTTCAAAGAATGTGACATCATGAGTAACACGTGCCAGAGTAGTCGTTCCTACAAACGGGTGTTATTACCGAGTATGGGGTGCAGGTTATAACTTTATTTTGGTTCAAACTATCCACTGAATCAATGTATCTGGTGTTTTCTAACCGACCTTAAGCCAATATGGTAATTCCTACGATTGATATATTTATAATATTAAGGTTTTATTTCATTCTTCCCTAACTTACGTTTTCCGTCCGTTACAAGAATTCAACAAACACACAATCTTAACTCATTCATCCCTTCATATATAAACTGGACTCGCCCAGTCTTTGGTTAGGTAAGGTTCAAATGTGACTTTAGGGGTTAATAGGTTAAGAGGATGCTTATTTATTAAATGTGTATCTCTTTATAGCAAATGTACAATAAAACTGGGAATGTAAATCTGGTTATTGTCGCTCCTTCTGGTAGTGTTCATTTTTATATAAGCTTTTTATGCTCACTTGTTTATTAATTAAACCATATTATGCAAATATTCTCTAATATGTTTTCGAAAAAAAAATGCCTTTAAAATTGAAATTTGTATTCTAGTATCACATACAGTGTATATTTTTTTCTTTTTCAGGAGCTGTAAGTGTAATATATATATATATATATATATACATATATATATATACACCTGCATTATTGAAAGGCTAACTTTTTCGTCCATACCAACACCATGCACATGCAGAAAATATGAATGATTTACAGTACCATATAATCCCGACACAATCCCAGAAAACCCCGAAATCCACCGACATTTTAATGAAAGCCAAGGTCATATAAACCTTCACCAGCATCATAACAAATATCAAGGTCATATAAACCTTTATCAACACCATTACAAAGATTAAGGTCATATAAACATTCACCAGCACCATAACAAAGGTCATGGTCATATGAACATTCACCAGCACCATCGCAAAGGTCAAGGTTATATAAACCTTTAATACTACCGCATCCTTCTTAATCTTTTCAACTGTGCTATAGCATGGTAATACTACTTGTGGGTCGTTCTGTTTAAAACAACGTAAAAGCAATCTATGTATACATACATTAAAAAAATCTTATAGAGTATAAAATGTTCAAGTGAAGGGTCATTTGATATATCCAATATAAAATACACAGCAGAAATTATTATGGAAACAATTATATTTTTCAGAAGAAAGTTGGCTTTAAAATGTCTTCTTCCAAATACGTAACAGAAAAATGTTAAAGATTAATGAATATTTTCGAATTGATGAATTCGAGATAATTGAGTGAATAATAACTATGTCAGACGTCGTGTATACGTAATAACGACGCCAAAGTTGTGTGTAGGTTATAATGTATGAGCTTGTTCATACATACTTACGTGGTCAGACTTTAGATGATCGTAAAATGTAGTGTATATCTCAAAACGAAGTCAATGGTCGACATTGTTCAAACGTTATTAAAATGTTAGAGATCGCTAGTACATTATAACGTTGTCTGAAGTCGTTTATTCGTAATTATGACGTCAATGTATATCGTTACTTACAACCGCATGATTAAAAAACATCGAAGTAAATGCATATCCATGTGTATATTTATATAACATTTCAAATGTTCCTCACTCTGACTCTGAAAAACTTTTATAAATATGTAACAGTTTATAGCGTACTACTTGTGTGAAAATGTGATTTTTTACTTCTTCCCAACTAAAGTGTTATTCTCGTGCAAGAAGTAATGGTGAGTTTAGTATAAAGTAAAACCTCGATATACTGGAAATGTTGGTGTAAAATACGTGATATGTTGTTAAACTGAGCTGTTAAGCGATAGAAAGCAACTTTTAAAAAGAGATTATTAAATAAATTTGAAGTTAACATAAAAAAAATCCTTATATCAAGGTTTTGTAAATTCATAAATAATGTGACTAACTCATACACACTCTGTTACTAGTTATATATATTATATAGAGGAAGGTGTGGTGAACAGTTAAAGTAATGAAACAAGGAAATGAAAATGACTGCCGGTGATTTATCTACATATTTACTATTAATAACACTATCCTCGGCAGAAAACGTCTATTTAGTGCATGCAATGTCAATTTGAAGCCAACCAACATGCAATAAAGCAATTCTCAATAACTGGTAACACAACATGCGCATCGTACTCAGTACAATAATTTAAAATAAAGGCTATTCATTTCTCATCTTACAACATATATATAAAGAAATGAAAAGATAGGTTATAAATTATCTGGCACGTTATAATTTAAGTAGAATAGGAAATAACCAATGCATTATGATATAACATTGAACTTACGGTGAGTGCATGCTCGTCTACTTTGTTTAAAGCGGCGACATCTGAAATGATGTCCTCCCGTTTAGTTGAAGGTGGACGTGGAGGGGGTAGTTCTACATCCGCCAGGGGTACCTTAGGTCTCTTTCTAGGAACAGTCAGTTTAGGTGAAGTCGGTACTAAAGGAGGCGCCATCTTGAAATTAGAAGCGCGTGTGTTGGCAGGAATCTTAGGCGACTGAACCCGTTTGAAGACTGGTCTACTTCCGTTGGTGTTGTGATTGATACCATTTTGTAGCCTGCTACCCGGTATCTTATGGAGGACAAATTCAGGGTCTGGGAAATGGACGTGGCGCTCTTTTCTCTCTATTGTTGAAGTGGTTGTAGAGGGTACATTTACTACTTGGATGAATTCAGATTTTGACGATCCACATCCCATTGTAGTTGGTTATGTGAAAATTATGCCTGAAAAGTAATATTATTGTAAAATCACGATATCGTTTGTAATACTTTGCTTAACATACAAGAAAACTGAACAGTTTCAATCATGAAAACATGGCCTCGGTAAACAGATATGTTTAGAGGTATTGTGAAAGTACCACATATTTCATTTAGATACAACAAGAAAAGAATTACGTAACAAGTGATAAATTATGTACTGATTTAAGATTGTTGAATTGATCGACTGAATATTTGAAAATATTCTAATGGTACATCGTTGCCAAACACTAGAATATAGGTCAATAAATGGTACCATCAACGATAATGGAAAGGAGTATGAAGTCAGAAAGACGAGAGCAAAACATAAATACATGTATAACAAATATTGTTGAGTTTTTGGAAATAAATTCGAGTGTACCAAAAATAATCTTCCGATATATCACATTCAAAGGAGGCGGGAGATTCAATAAAGATGAAATAGATACCGATTCACATGGAATGGTGAACTGCCCATTTTATTTTTTAAATTATAATGGCAAAGGTTTAACATATTTTGACTAATATATTTTTGCATTTTGATAGTGACTATACGGTGTTAACACACAGTACAAAGATTCTTTTTCATTTTTAGAAACTGTACAGACTTTAGTTTACTATTCAATTTTATTTTTATCATACAATGAATCTCCATGAACACCTCTATTGATAGTTTTATTTACAAGTGAGTTTAAGACGAGGTGTAACTTGCACATACGTAGACAGTATAGTATTACAGGAGGCTTTGTTGGCACACAAAAGACCATCGCTTATGTCGCCATTTTAAAGCTGTGAAACCGATGTCATACCGAATATCAAATAGGATTTATGTGACATCCTACCTGAACTAACAGCCATATGGTGGTAGATAAAATCGCAACGCGCCATGTGTCATCCTGTGTGAGAAATTTCCTTAAAAATGATTCACAGAGTTTTGCTTGTCACCCACACATAACGTTTCATTTTTTTAAAATGAAACTTGACTCAAGTCAAAAGCCTTGTTAGATTTACATGTTAAATTTCTTAAATATTAACATAACTAAGCTTACAATGCTAAGGGACACTGACTATAAGATTTCATAACACTATCTACTACAAATAAATAGGCCATGCTCTTAAGATTATAATATATTACGATTGCAGTGTAAGATTTAGTGGTATTAAGAGTGTATCGAATTTGTGTACTGAATGTGTCATTGTGTATTGACGGTACTTTTTGTTATCAATATTGCATGAGCCTAATTGATATTTTAATTTAAAGTTGACTTGGCCCAATATGCATGTCTATGGATTCACACAATCATATCAAGGTAATATAAATATAAACATATATACATATTTATTCATGTATATCTCTGTTTTTTTCTAATTTATAGATTGTTTCCACATATCATTATGTTTATAATCCAACTGAATTCTAAAGAAGATTTCGTTCGCAATTTTCCAAAAAGGATATAAATCAACATTGACGCAATTGATGGGAAACATTAATATTTCATGGATCACAACTATTATCAACTGCAATAAATTGCCTGGCAGAATCGATAAACGGGCTTAGCTCTTTTGTTATTGTATGTTACATGCTTTCCCTATGTCAAAAATATACCAACATGCCATTGTTAGATTAATGCTTTGTTTTTGTCCAAGTTAATATTGTTTAGAAAGTCAAACTGTGAAAAACGTGTCCTTGTCATAGACTAAGACGTTAGCTACAGTTTAGATCTCCCATACAATCTCTATTTCTCACCACATGCTGTTTCATTTTCCACCTCAAATCAAGGATGACAAATGATGGCAATTAAAGGAGTTTTGTTGTATACCAGCAAGTATCTCCTCTTTTTATCAGTCACTTTTATGAATTTGTTTATTGCTTGTCCAAGTGTATAAAATCATACATACACGGGCGGTTACGGTAGACATATGTTATATGGTATATTAACCCCGCACTGATTTTCTGCTTATTTCACCTGTTTATAATCCTGCTGTATTTAATCCACGCCCAGACGTAACCAGCGCTTATAGCCCCGAGTGAATTATTGTTACACTTATAATTCGCCTAAACTGTAATATGCCACGTGTTCATGCTGCACAATGTATAGGTTACAGAATGTCAGTAGTTTAAGGATCCCTGTACCACTTACAAATCCTATAACTATGGATAGAAGACTTGTGTCGGCATGGCTATAGTATTTATAGTTCAGTTCTAACAAAGCATTAACTTGTAGGGATTGTATAGTAGAAAATAATAAAGATAAAGTTAACAAAAAACAAACTAAATATAAAAATCTTCTGAGTATTAAAACATTGGGCCAGACCAAGATTCGAACCTTTGACCTCTGATCATTATATTGTTGGTCTACCGAATTGAGCCACCTGGTAAACCGTCCCCTGTCAAGTCGCACCACAGTAATAGGATAAACAAAATAAGAGGAGGTTACTGTGTGTACAAAAATGGAATTCGCTCTAGTGCTTTTGGCTGTATTTGGACATGGATCCTTAATTAGTTTTGCCATCATGGCTTGATTTCAAACGCACCTGCCACTGATAAAGACAAGTTTAAAATCAGTAATAAATCGCTTCATTCAGGGATTTGACATATTGATGAATGCCATATATGCTTCGGGAAACACTTATACCTTCGGAGCCCCAATTTGTGTGCCCTGAAAGTACTTATGATGTATTTCCGTTTTGTTTTTGGTCTTCGTTTCGTTTACGTTCCGTTGAGAGTCCTTTAGAACCTATCCGGAACAAAGTCAACTTAAAGACGTACGTAAACATGAACTATTGATGTGTATATCGAACGCATTGTATCAATTATGGAATATTTATGAACGTTCGTGACTCGTGATTAGCCATTAAGAAAACAACAGGTATACGGTATATAGTTATAATGCCGTGCCGGTGGGATTGCATTGACACAGCCAAGCAATACACGGATCTTCACTTATTTATCCAATCTATACAAACGTATGGGAACCAAATGTGATATTGACGTTTTACCTACCTCCCGTCAAATCAACTAAGAACACTTTCCAATACTGCTATACCCTAAATATCACTGTTAAACATCGCTAAGTACACATGCCCATGCCACTTGTTCATGTCTGGTGTTTTATCCATGTTAGGTTATATACTGTTCACCATCCATATGTAATAGTGTGCCATTAACACCATTCCCTGTTCATGCCGTCTGCTAGTATTAACTCGTCTGATGTTCCATACTTGAGTCCCAGTTAAAAAATCTCGTGTATGTAAGTAGCACAACAGACACCTGCAGGTTCTTGTATGTCTGTTGGGACAACCAGAACGTAATTCCAAACAGATTGGCAAATTGCTAGCAACCCAAGAAGTTTATAGACGTTGACCTTTGACCCCAGGTATGTCGGGGTATATACTTATTTTAATAAAGGAAGCCGTCACGTGGCAAGCTAACCTGGCTTTTAAATATGTTTGATAGATTAGTAGGTGATCGGGGAGCGAGATCGGTATGTCTTATATAGGTATTCTGTTATTATACACACACAACGTGTGTATATTTGGATCGCTCCAGACTAAATTGGCAAAGTATGTGAAGCTTCTGTGTATATGTCAGAAAATGGTAAAATGATATTTTTATAATGATATATGTGAATACCGTGTTTACACTTCATTAATAATAATTTAATCAAGGTCAGAAAAGCAGTTGCACGTCTCCGATTTAGGTCAATGTTGGAAAATAGGCTACTTTGACGTTTAAGGATTCCTAAAATAATATTTAAATGAAGTTCAAAGTTGGACATTTGAGCCAGGGTGTACCCTATTGTAGTTTTATACTATTTTTGGAAATGTTATTGTTTTCACACTATTATTAAGCCTTCTGTCCACAGTGCTGCGCAATATAAATTTACAAAGAAATACCGAAACAATTGAATTGTTCATATAACTGTCTTACACAATACACACAATTTTAACAAAGAATTGTAAATTAATCATCATCTATCATCAAAAAGATCCAAACACATCATCAGTATAAACGTTAAGGGTCTAGGTTTTAATCATTATTCCAAGGGGGACGTTTTGCTAATACTTTAACTATTGCATTTGCATTCAAGTTCTCAGAAACAAACAAACTATATCCTACAATATGCTGTGACATCGCTATTAGCTGGCTTCATTACTATCTTGTAACAAGGAATATTAACGTTATAGAATAGAACTTTAGAAATTAAGGGTTAGACACTAACTGTTTTGTTTGGTAGTCCACAAGACTAGTTAAATTTATTATTTGCTAGTCCTACGTCAGTGCAACTTGTCCAAACTTTCCTCAAGGAACACCTCTAGCATAAAACATAAAAATGAAAAATCTGATGGTAGGAGACATAAAAACCTACTAACGTAAAGATATTGTTAAGTTTTAGGACAAGTTTGATAATTTTCATATCATATATCCGTATTTTAAGCAGTTTTTCAAAAGGAATACTCTTATCTGATAATATATCTATCTCATGAAGTTGTGATACTACATTTTTCACAAGTCCAATGGACTAGTTAGGGTTAGTGGTTGTACTGGTCTAGTCCCGGCGTACAGAACAGGTGTCGAACCCTGGGCGCACGATAGAGAACAAAACAAATATTTAAATCGATTATCAACATTTTATTACAAAGGCCTCATATAATGTTAAAGCATTTGTGTGATTTTAGTTGTTGTCATATTCTTTCTCCTCTCCCTCATTCATTCATTCAATCAGTCTTTCTCCTCTCCCTCATTCATTCAATCAATCAGTCATTCTTTTTTTTATTCTGTCAATCAGGCACACTCTCACTCATTCCCTTATCTATTTATTCACATCTTTCATATTCATTCATTCATTAAACTCATTCCTTTATAAAAATTCATTCATTCATTAATATTAAATCATTCATAAACATTCATTCATTTAATGAATATTTATAAATGTCAATACTTTTATATATAATAACAATGTAAATCATATTTGTAAAATATTATC